TGGCTGATTCAACGATAGAGATTGGTCGTTGTTCAAAAATGGATGCGGGACTGGCACGCTCAGCTCCTTCCGTAACTGCGGCGATGGTGGCGGGGTTGAGTGGTGAGGATGGTGTCTGGGCCATCCGGCCGGGACCGGTTGAAACACCAATGGTGCCGTTGACGGCTGCCGGACTGTTCTGCAAGAGGGCTGCACGGGCTCCCCGGTTCAGGTTGACGGGAGTGTGGATCCCCAGATCGAAGGGATCCAAGGCAGCGGGCGGGATCGTCGTAGACGAGGCCATCGCCGCGGTTTGCGACTGCGCAAAGCGCAGATTGGAATGTTTGTTGTGCACTTGTTAAGGATTTAGGTGTAGACAGGGCCACTTTCTTAACACTTGTATGCCAAGAAAGTGTGATGACAAAGGAAGGTGACCGTTGCGCGAGGTCCGTCATCCCGGCCCGCTCCCGGGTAGGTATAGCCCACTCCGCTAGTAGCGCCCGTCCTGTAAACACAAGGCCTGCAAGTACGTAAGTGAATAGGTGGGCAGGTCGGAGTTGCCCCGTCTCGCCGTCAATCCCCAGCCTTTCAGACCCCATCTCTAGATGAGGCTGTGACGCAGAAGTAATGGATAGCTGACCTGGGAGCCGTGAAGAAGGTCTGTATTTGGACGCTAGACCAGAGTCCTAAGCGGTGTCCTATCTCCTTTACTCCATGAACCTGATTGTGATGTACCTTTAGATACTTCCAGCTTTTAGTTAGGAATCCACATTGCATACATGCAAAGCCGGTATGTAGAGGTAGGCCCTTAATGGCTGGGATTGGGTTTAGTGGGCTATGTGGGAAACTATCCTTGGATGGTCCCTGTAGTTCAAGCCCGGTATAGTGGGACGAGATGGCACGCCGAGCCTTAGCATCAATATGGGCATGCTGAGCTTTTAAGTGACTGTAGAGGTTTGATACAGCATAGCCATGAGTCTTGCAGACTAAATATCGGTATTCTGGGTAGTAAAGCAGCTCGTCTGCCATGGCCTTAACCCAGTAGTCTGCGCTGAGTGCTAGGCCTGGGTCTGCAGTTGGTCCCTTATCAGATGGCGGCCATTGAATCAAGGTATTATCATGTCCCGGGTCCATTTCGTTGGCAACTTTTTCTATAGTCATAGTAGGGCTAAGAGATGGGCTGATGTTAGCTGCGTTGGCGTAGCTTCCACAAGAATCAGCCACTTTATTGCGCTTTGAAGCAATTTCAAGTACTTTAGTGGAATTTGGGGACCGTGGGCGCCTTCTTGGGTTAATTTCTTGCTGGTCCTTGGTATTTGTCCGATCTAAGATGACAGCATTACCATTGTATCCATCCCCTAGCCGCAGGAAATCATGCCACCTTTTCGAGACACGTAGATATAACTGCAGGAGAGCGGGTTGCAGTTGATTCGGAAACGCGCCATCGAGCCCATATGTGATTGACCTCTGTAGTTGCATATGACCGCTCTGCCACGCATATGCTGTATCCGCGTCTCCGTATACGGCATGCCTGCTGTGTCGGTTGAAACTTTCCGAAATATCCCGAACATGCCTCTCAGTAATAGCTATGGAGAGCTGCCGATATAATTGGACTCCAATTTTAATGGAAATGCCAGGGGTTGCTTGGCTAAGCTGCTGAAGCTCTCTGGTTAATACGGAGGTGGTCCATGCCGACTTGGTTCCAGCCGGAGTGAACAGTAATGGAGCTGTGGTGTGGTTCACGAAACAGACGCGCAGAAGCATATATGTTAACGGCCGTATATAGACGAGATACCGATACATAATATCCGTAACTTGATGAGGCAGAAAACGGACAACATAGAATTCGTTATTGGTGGTGATTCGAGTCTTATGATGCCTTGTGACTAGACAAAGTCGCCCACCATATAGGCAGATGCCACGGAGCTGTGAAGCTGTATTGCCATGCTGAATTGTTAAAAGCTCTGTTGCACGTGCACATTGTCCCGATGATAAGTGGCATAATAGTAGGATCATCCGGAGGAGATCGTTATGTGCATCGATATAGCTGCAGACTGCTTTCTTATCCCAGGAACTGCATTCATTCTTCCCAATAAGAGTAAGTAGATTGACAGGCGAGAGGCAGGCTTTCGTAAGGAGCTCTAAATAAGCATTTGATATCCCGTTGGCCGGGTCAGAGACAAAGGAATACCCAGCCGTAGCCGTCGAGAGTCGGTCCCGCAGCGTTCTGAGATCGCGGGTTGGAGGCACCCAGTCATACATCAACCGCTCACACTGGCGGGTTGCTGCCTGGATTGCGCTGTGGGCCAGGGTCCGAAACCCATCCATAGTAACTCGAAAGCACCCATCCCATGATATCTCCTCCCCATCGTCGCTCCATTCGAACTGGATTGTCGGGCCCTCCGATCGACGTAGGGACTGGCCGTAGGCAGCAAGACTGATGAACTCTCCGAGTGGCGATAGCGTTCCATCACACATCTTCTTCTTACGGACATTATTTAGTATATCTAGTTGCCCATAGCGAGGCCTTTCTGACAAACTAATGTAGTCATGTGAGAATCTTGGCAGCACTGATTCCATGATGAGAAGCCGAGTACAATAGATCAGGCTGGATAGGATGCTAGTGAATTGAGCTGGGCGGAGGAAGTTGGCCCCTGTAGGCAATGTAAGTCCGCATACAGCGCTGAAGTAAACAAGCATTGTCGACTTTGAGTTTCCATCTGCAAAATCCTCAGTTGCCATAAACAGGCAGAATTGTAAGACTAGGTCGGCCTTGGGGTCTTGTGGTGGTGGTGATGGTGGTAGTGGTGATTGTGTAAGTCGCCCACCCTAGTTTTGGCCCACCCCTGGCTTTGGCCCGCTCTATTTAGCCTACATCGCACAACTGGTATATCGACGTAACTAGGTCGCAACAAAGTCAAATTAAATGGTAAAAATACAAGGAAAATCGCATTTGGCGCTCTTTAGTCGCTTTCTTCGTCTGCACTTGAATCTCGCTCCATATAGCATTTTGTTGGTCGCCGATTGCGTGCCGACCGTCGAGCCAGTGCCGGCTCCTCTTCCGACTCAGAGCTACTCTCCCCCTCCACGATAATGACCTCTTGTACCGCGTTTCTTGCCTTCCGAACACGTTGTTGAGGCTCTCGATTAGCTTGCGCAAGTATCTGCGCAAGGCTTGCAAAGCGTTCGTTCGGATCTTGGACGATCTTACGACGTTTAGTCGGTTTTGCCTGGGCGAGTTGCACCCGCAAGCGTTCGATCTCACGGTCCCTTAGTATAACCTCCATCGCAACCTTATCCAACGCCGCAGCGGCTTTTCGAATAGACAGTCGTGAAGTGGGAGAGCCGCTCTTCTCGGCAAATAGCTTTACGACGTCGCCGCCGCGTTTTGGTGTTGAAATATCCGAGGTGACACGTAGTGGTATAGCTGGCCGTTTAGCCACCACGACCCATCGACAATTTAGAGGTTTGGCTACGCTTTTAGGGTATAAGCCTGACGCCTTCCACCCAGATTGAACGTTTTCCTTTCGAAGACCAATTTCTCGAGCTTTCGCATAAAATTCGAGAAAGTTTGCCTTTCCAACCTTTGTCGCATCTGTCAAAGCCGTATGCTCCCCAATTAACCTACGATAGGCCGTTTTTAAACTGGAAAAGCAGCCGAGATCCAAGGGCTGGAGGACATGGGAAGTATGAGCAGGGAAAAAGAGTAAGTGAACGTTGTTTAGGTAACACATAGTCATAAATTCGTCCGAGGTATGACTGCCGTGACCGTCGACGATGAGTAGGCGACCATCGGCTGGATCCTCAGGTTGCGTTTGGGGTAAAAACACCTTCCCTAGCCACTCGACAGCAATATCATTGCTTGTCCACCCGTTTTCCGAAAAGGTAACATGCCAGCCAGGATGCTTAGCTAGGAAATCCTTCTTGAACCATTGTTCTTGGATACTTTTGGCCTTGAAGATGACCAGGGGGTTCAAAGCGACCCCGAGCGCCAAGATGCACTCCACAATAGACGTCCAAGTCCGGGCATTTATCGTTTTGACTGGTACCGTGTTAGGGTTCTCCTGCGAGGAGCCGATAACAAGCCCGTTAATGCCTTGGCCCTCCATAATGCCGCCCTTGTCGGCGTTGTACCTCCGCCGGGGAGGGATCCAGCTCACAGTCTCGTATAGGTTGAACAGGTGCCTGATATTATCCGGAGTGGCCGCATTTATACGTTTCCAGTCAGTTCGACGGCCTAATTTTGTCGTGACAGCCAAATGGCGCTCCACCAAGTGACTGGACCACTTCCTCCCTAGGGGCTTGTGGTCACCTTGTTGTTTAAGCACGCTGCTAGCGATTGCTCGCACTTGTGCGTGTGTTGGCGGGTAACCGAGGGCCTCCTGCCGCAAAATCCATTGCTTAAGATGTTTTTCTTGATTGGCCGTGAGCCGCTGTTGGTCGTCGTGTGCCGTACGTTGAGGTTGGGCACCATTAAGGCGGGCACGAAGTGTCCCTCTTGGTACACCATGGCGTGTGGCAGCGGTCCTAACGGCAACCCCATTCCTGACGTCCACGATGGCGTTTTGTAGGTCCTGCTCAGTATATTCACGCATTTCGAACCCGGAGAAGAAAATACAAAAGAAAGTAAGTCAATTGGAGAAAAATTCGATTTTTGACAATTTATCGTAGGTGGTAGCGCTGATCTGACGCGTGGGACGGAGCGCGTTTGTGGGGCGGACCAAAGCCAGGGGTGGGCCATAACTAGGGTGGGCGACTTACAGGTCGCCTAGAGCAGAGATGACAACACCACTCACCTAATAATTGCTGAAACACACCTACTAACAACAGCTACCCCTCGTACAACCAATAGCAGGCACTGCTTCAGCCGCCGAAGATAGGAAACTGAACACTTGGAGGAATTGGGCTTCAAGTTGATCTGCTACCACTAACCGATACGGGGATCTAGAAGGAGAACAATGAAGAGACAGAGAAGAAGAAGGCGGGAAACATAGGGGCTCTGCGAGATCAAGACATCAATTGGCGAAATGTATGTATTTTTAGTTTTTAGAGTCCTATGGGCGGTGGCCTACCGGGCGTAATAGATCTGTCTGTCTGTCTGACTACTAGGGCTCATTTGCACCTACTGAATGCGGGCATAATACTGACAAACAGTTTTCCCTGCTACCTTCGTACTTAGGTAGGACATTTGTCAACATCTAGCTCCGCTATTACATACTCCCGTATCACCATCGCTACCTTGCCAAGCACTCCCTGACTCTGCCCCGACTTGGACGCCATCTCCTTAGCCGCTATGGCAAATACGAGGCCCGCGATGTCGGCGACATCGGTCGTGACATACAGCATAAGTGGTAGGCCAATATCGTCTGCCTGCGCTCGCACCTTCTCGAGTAGCCCTCGTGCCATTTTATGCATAGCGAAGTAATCAAACACGAGGTCGGGCATTTCGGTCTGGATGGCGTGGGCGACGTAGTGCACGAGCTGCGGTGCGGTGAGAGTTGGGTGTGCTGGCGATGCCTTGGTTTTGGCCTTAATCTTCCTATCTGCTGTAGCTCCAGCCTGGGACTCAGTTTCAGCGGCCCCGTCCTTCTTTGCTTGTTCCTCCTGCTGCATTTTGAACCAACCACTCGTCTCCAAGATCTGCTGCATCACTTCGGCATTCCAGGCCCTCCTTGTTGGTTCTGCTATCGCGCGCTTTTCCATCCGCGCTGCACAGCACAGTGACACGGGAGCCCCGAACTTAAGTTCGCGGATGCCGGCGCGCGACCTCTGCAGGAGCACCTTGCCCTGCTTGCCCTTGCGCCGGTTCGCGGCCGCGAGCCAATTGGCCGGCGATACGCCGCGGCTCATGCAGTAGTTCTTGAAGTGAGCCTGTAGCGATGCCGGTGGCTCCATGCCGACGAAGAAGGCCTGGAGTCCTTGCATCGCGACGAGGCGATCGAGGTCTGGCCATTCCGGCACTGGCACCAAGTGCTCTTGTTGTTGTTGTTGTTGTTGCTGTTGCTGCTGCTGCTGACGCACCGCCGTGTACAGTTGCACGGCATGCAGCACGGCGCCAGGCTTGGCGGCGTACCTGACGCCGGTCTGGTGGAGCAGCACACGCGCGTAGTGAATCCACAGGCCACAGAAGAGCGGGTTGTGCAGGAGAAAGGACGAAGACCGGCTTGCACTCTCATTACGACTGCTGCGGTTGAGAGCCATCCGGGAGGCCGTAAATATATCCACGCCGTTTATCTTGACCGTGACCATCTTGCGCATGTCCTCTAAATCTTTCTTCGTATCGTTTTGATGATAGTCTGCCAGGTTTGCGCGATCGAGCAGCTCGGCAGTGATCTCGTTGAAACGATGAAACTCAGTCAGGACCTTTGTGACGTTGGGCCCGAAGAAGCGTAGCGTGTCAAGGTAGTTCTGCACCGCGAAGCACAACCAGACCGGGATCTCCTGCGTCTCGAACATGTATTTGACGCCGCGCGCGAACTCGTCGAGCACAGGGATGCCTTCGATTTCGAACAGCAAGGTGATATCGGGTACTACTTCCAGAAGCGCCGCCTTGTCCTGCGCCCACCGCTGACGGTTATCCGTAGTCTCTAGATGCGCTCTCTGCGCGTCATACCACCCGAACTTACCGGTGTAGCAAGGCATTTGTCGTGCGCTGTGCGGCGCGGCCGTCCGAATCGCTTCGAGCAAGCTAGCAGCATTGTACAGAAACGTGGCGCCTATATCATAGCATGCGAAGTTCATATCGTCAGAAAACCGCTCCTTCTGGAAGGGATCGAGACCTAGGTATTGACAGACTGCGCCGAAATACTTCGGCAGCAGCGCCAACACGCCACCATGATTCTTCAGCAGCGGCGCCATCTCCTCTTCCATGCTGCGCGCGAGCTCGATAGCCACATTGGCACCAACCGCAGCGGCAGCCAAGTCGATCGTCCCGCTGCGATACTCATTCCACAAGTTACTAACCTCTTTGCGAAGGTTGATGAAGTCCTTGAGCAGGGCTGTGAAGGCGAATATGCACTCAGTCTCCGACTCGTCGTTTTCAACTGTGTACTCGAGATCAATAGGTGAAGATGGAGCAGGAAGCACCACATCGGGCGAGTCCGAAAAGTTCTCGGATGGCTCATAAACTTGCAACACCTGAAATAGACTGAAGTCCCGGATCTTAGCTTCCACCACTGAGTTATCGTGGATGGCATTCGTAGCGCCTTTCTCAGACGCCATATTAAATGCAACGCCGCTGCCGCCTTCAACTTCGAACAAGACATAGCGAACCTTCTCCAGCACGCTGACGAAATATGCATGCGCTGTATTTGCCCGCACGCTGAGATGTTTGTTGGTCTCGCTAAGGTGCATTGAGAACATCTTCCGGACACGGATCGCTCGCTCCAGGGCCGTGCGAAAGAACAACGGGATCCCAGCCCCAGTATTGGCTTCTATTGCGGTCGTTGTTGTCAACTTGCGGGCGATGAACTCGGCCAGCGGCACGAAATCTCGAATGGCAAGCACATACTTTGGCTTCGGCGGTGGATCAGGTGCATCCTTTGCGTCTATGCCTGAAGGTGCGACATGCTGCTTTTGCTGCTGCGTAGCCTCCTTGCGCGCCTTGCCCTTCAGGCGGCCGGATGAGGGGGCAGCACTCTTGTTGGCTGCCGCACCTGCGGTAGGGGGTGCTGCGAGCGAGGTCGTGTATCCATGTTTCTTGGCAGTTGTGGCTAGCCATGAAGCGACGATGTCCGTGTCGCGCTTGTATTGCTGGTATATTGAGAGAAAGCTGGTGGATGGCATTTTGAAAAGTTATCCAATTCCGAAATGCAATGGATTTTAGTCTGCCCCCCGGAGCGTGCACGGACGAAAATGATGTATTACGACGCATTTTATGGGAAATTGGAAGGACGTCAAGCGTGCACGGGCCAGATTCTGCGTAATTCGACAAATTACATCGAGCCCTTGCTACAGTAGTAGTAGCCTCGTCCACCATTGTGGCCAACTCTAATTTGAGCACATTTTTAATCGTTTATTATGCCTTCTAAGCTTTCATCAGCGCGCAAACGCAGTAGGCCGTCTCTCAACCGCCGCAAAGAGGTTGAGATTCAAGACGACGAGCCATCCGATGATTCAATCCGCGTAAATCAAAATTCAGAGCCGGCTCAAGTGAATGGACAATATGAAGCCCGTCTTTCAACATCAAAATCCAACTCCAAGGCAGCAGAACCAAACACTCGCCTTCGGCGGAGCCATCAGCTGCCTTCCCGATTAGTTCACGATACACCTCAGAGCACCATTCGCCACTCTGGGGAATCAGAGGAGCATACGACAGCGTCTTTTGCCGAATCCCGCTTGGCTCCTTCAGTGAAGCGGCAAAAGACTGATGACGTCCAGTCCCGACTATCTCAAACGTCTGGATTATTAGATTGGAACGCACTTCTAGTAAGAAGGATCTCCCAACCAAGTTTATTCTGCCATAACCTAACTACTCTACAGCCCTCTGGAAATGAGTTCAAAGAAAGCTTGAAGGCTGCCTCGACTGCCTTGGCGCCATCCATCAAGAGCTTCGAGCAGCTTTTAACATCTATCAACGATGAACACAGCAGACTTACCGCCGTTAAGGGCAGTCTCTCTTCCCAAAGGGACGAGCTAGCCAAGGACCAGAGAAAGGCTGAGGACGCTCTCAAGGATGTTGAGACATCAACAGCCACTGAGAATCAAATGCTCAGAGACCTCGAAGATGTCTACAACAAATATCCAGGAGACAAGGAGCTTCTCATATTCCTTGAAAAACGAAAGAAAACGAGCGATGAACATCAAGAGGTATATACCATCGTCAAAAGCCAACTGGATAAGAGCTCAGCCGGACTTTCCAAAACCGAAAGCGAGCTTGCGCTGGTCACTGGGAGGCTGAGTCAGCTCGAGGCTGAAAGGGCTGAGGTCATGAAGGAGAAGGAGGGAGTTGATAAGGCGGCAAAACAATTGATGGCTATGTCTCGGTTCTTGGAACCTGGTTGGCAAGCTACTCTGGACATGCTTGAGCAGGTTTCGGGGATGACGCTCTGCGAACTGCCCTCTTTGTGGGGTTTTCATTGTTGTGAGTGATGCTTGAAGTTGTAATATTAGGGATGTACGCTTTATCAAGCTGGTGTTGACGTGGATGGGATACCCCTAGTAGTTAATAATAATATCAATTGTATTAGAGTTGATCTTTCTGCTACACTTTATATAGGGTAGAGTGGATTTAATGAGCATGTTTATAAAGGAAGACTTTAGGTCAAGTTCATTTAGGCAAATGTTATTAGTTACTTCTTTACGCTCCTAAAAATAGTTATAACAGATAGTAGGCGTTTGTAAACGTATATTCTCTATAATTTTCTCACCACATCAGGGGTTGCTCCAGCTTAAATAACATCCCAATAAAGCGTAAACGCGGTTGGCCCGAAAATACTCTATATCTCCAGTATTTGAGCTTATGTGTACTGATGATTGGACCTCATTCATAGAAAGCACAAAGAATACATCGTACTGTTCACTACCTGTCAAAACCAGACAACCCAATCCGTTGTAAATATGTGAAACTTGTGGATAAGGAAAAAAGTCAAAATAAGGATAACGTGTTTGATAAGCATGCTGACCGGACAAGTATGCTAACCACTCTAATTTCCACCTTAAACCCGGGTTTTATAAAATTCTTTAAAAATTCAAACTAAGCCTAAAATAGCTATAACCTTAATAGCTTATATATAATTCTTAAAATAAGCTATATTATTTTTCTTAGATTTTTGAAAAAATCCTATATAGCTATAAACTTTAAGCCCTATTTACACTGTATAATACACTGTATTGTAAGGTTTTCTATATGTAATAAAATCGCTAAAAATCTTCAAAAAATAGTGTTTATTAACGTTTATTATACTATTGGAAGTAATATTTTTATTGAAATTTTAGCTACTTTATTTATAGTAGAAGCTTGCTATGGGGTAGGTTTTTTATAGTTATACAGTGCAGTGGTCAGTACACTTGTCTAGTTAGCATACTTATCAACACGTTACATATCACTCTCTTCAGACTCTGCACCATGTAGTTTCGTTCTGAAAACGATCTACTGTTCTTGACTTCAGGACCCAAACTTGACCGCATTGCGTCGTTTCAGCAAGCGACTGATCGGGAGAAAAATCCAGAGGCAAACGGCAGAACTTAGTGTCTTGCGAGCACTCTATTCCAGCTGAAGATAGGTTGTTCATTCCGTTCGCGACGTCAAATCGTCTGCGAATAACATCTAGGAGATAAACTAAATATAACTAGGCGGAAATTACTGTTATTAAACCATATGATCTGCCGTGACAGGGGTGCGTAGCGTGCAGGGGCCATGATTTCATGTATCAGGACCTGATACTGGGGGTAATTGGTACAGTAGAATCGTCTGCGAATAATACCTAGGGTGGATAAGCTATGAAAGCTAAAGTGTGACGCGCCGATTGTCAATCGAAATGGGACAAATCAGTCGCTATGGATTAAATGGGAATAAACCGGAGATAGTCAAGCACCTGAGAAGTAGACAGGGGTATGCGACAATTAGGGGTACACGACAATTAGGAATAGAAGAGTAGGGTGAAGGTGACATTGTCGAAGAAGCCGCTCCTGCTTGTAACACGGAACTGTCGGCTGAAGTGTGCATAATCAGTGGTTTGGGGTTGAAATGAAAAATTCAGTGTCAAGGTTCAAAGCCACTCTCATATACGCTGTATTCTACTATTGCTTATTCCAGGAATTGATCTTCTGAGCCATGACAACGTACAGATAACATCATACGAGGAGGCCTGCCAAGAATAAATTTGACATTATTTGCTATATGTTTATTCAGACTTAAGGGCTACAATACCCGAGCTGCTGTCGACTGGAGCCGTCGTCGAGCACGCCTCGCGATAACGTCTTGTCTCGCGTTCTCTTCCTTAGAGCCATACCTGCGGGGTCGGCCGCGCTTGGTGGATGCTTGTGGCATGGCGACGCAAGGAGAGACTTGAGTGGAGAGTACGTGGAGGAGGTTTTGGGAGCCCCATCAATTGAGTTTACCCCTGAGATGACCGCAAAATCCTGAATAGGCTAGTGCGGTGGAGGCGAAAACTGAAGAGGTAGAAGTTGTGACCGCTAAATTCTGATTGGCCATAGACTTGACCGCGAAATCCTAAAATGGCTAGTACCGTGACCGCAAAATTCCAAAGAGTACGTTACAAATGGCCCGACCGTTAGAAAACATCTCAGCAGCGCTAACTGCATCATGAGCTCAGTTTCATTCTAGATGCCTGCTTTCTCTTGCGTCCTGTTAACTTACCTTTTTTTTTTCTTTCTTTTTTTTAATGCCATAGGACAATTAGATAGAGGAACATTGAATTTTCTGCCGGGAATAAGATCATGAGGAGCGTGGTGGGGTTATGACATCGATCGCCGCTTTGTTGCCTGAGGCATCAATCGTGAGGGGTTGTCATGCCGATATGCTGACTCCGCTCAAACAAAACAAACTAAACAACCACGACAAGCGACCCAGACCACAAATATCGGAACAAAGCATGAAAAACGCGAATAATGACCACTCAACTCAGAGTCGCTACTTGGATCGACAACCTACCTGATAATTTCTCGTGGTCCCCATCTCAAACGCACTCAAGACCAGAGACAGCATCACCATCACCATCACGCCCCCGGAAACGCAAAGCAGTACAAGAGCTGAGCCCACCGCCAACGGTAGTGGGTATGGAGGACCCCGAAACGCCTACCAGGAAGAAGCAACGGCACGCTTTGAACCTAGATCCGGATTTAACACCTCGACCTCTGCATGAAGCCTCTAATGACCCGATGAAGACACCATCACTGGCGAGCTCTAGTGCTTCCGGTCGCACCCGCTCAACGTCGCCGCTAAAGAGACAATGGGCAGAACTTCGTCTTGAGGAGAGAGGTTTCGAAACAGAACAACTTGACGTCGATGCTCTTGAGGACCTGCCGAATCCACAGGCCGCTTCTCTTTTACGAGTCATGCGTCGCATCGGTGCTCGCAGGGGCATTCTTCCAGATGACCTGCGCGAGAAGATATTGAGGGACCACAATATAAGAAAGAATGATCTGGAAGAGTGGGACATAGCTTTCAAAGACTCTGACGCGTTTGACGGTATTCCATGTCGCATTCCGACACCCAGCGAGATTAGATTAGTTTGCGAGTGGAACAAGGAGTGCACTAATTCCAAGCATGAGGAAGCTGGCTGGAACGATGAGGTTCACTTTCGCTTGCTACAAGCGATCCTGAGAGAGCCCGGAGAGAAAAAAGGAGGACTCTTCAACATTACCACTTGGTAGGTACCTCATTCATCCATTATTATGAATGCTATGCTAACTGATTCCCGCAGCAATACAGCTCGTCCTCATAGAATATTCCTACCAAAGTCGAGTGGCTCTAAGATGGTTGACTTCTGCGTCTACGCTGACTCAACCCAGCAAGACGTCGTTTCAGTGAAGACTTACGAAGCCTTTTGCAACACAAACCCGACTAAATCTGTCAATCACACAGACTTTCTGCGACTGCAAATGCATCCAATAGTGCTGAGCATTGAGACAAAGGCAGAAAATCAGAGCCTTGATAAAGCTACGCTGCAAGTCGGTACCTGGCATGCTGCCCAATGGGAGTTTCTTCGCTCGTCGCTGCTCTATGTCAAGCGCGCGTCCGCTGCCAAGCGTTCGGTAGAACAGGAAGTAAAAGAAGCGGATGAGGCTTTGTCGCGATTGCCTTTCATCCCTGCGGTGATTGTGCAAGGCCATAGGTGGCTCTTCGTTCTTTCAACGCGCCAGGATGAAAAGACACTACTTTGGAAGGAGTATCAGTTTGGTAGCACCTCCTCGGTGGTGGAGACATATCAGGCTGTGGCTGGACTAAGAGAGCTTATCTCGTGGGCTGAGAAGATCTACTTACCGTGGTTCCAGAAGGAAATCCTGGCGTTCCATAAACCTAGACCTAAACCGCAACCTGCTACAGTATGAGAGACTATGGGGCTTTGTAAGATGTACCCGTGGTCGTGAAATTTTGGATATTTCACAACAATTTAGACCACTTCAAACGCGTCTGCCTGTCTTTGTTTTTATTTTTCTGTCTTTTTGCTTACTTTGTATAACGCAATTTCGGGATACCTTTGGAATGTTTGGAAGCGAGCGGTTGATGTTCTACCTGATGTGTTTTACGATCATTATCTTATTTTTAAAATCATAATATCTATTATTTGAGAACTCGCGGATATGTTCCTCATCAGTTCTATCTTCATCAGTTCTATCTTCATCTTCATCTTCATCTTCATCTTCACAGTCGCTGGGTTCACCCTCACGTCCTTCGTCCAGATTCCAGTGAGAGTTTCAGCCACCCACTGTGGAGAAATAACTAAATATAATATATAATATATTATAATAAATTCACGGCATCTATGTTATAAGGCATATGTATCTTGCTGCTGTTATATTTCAAAATGTTCAACTCTAAACTCATAACAATGAACACTTTCCATACATCAACATACCTTTTCAGGCAGTTCACAACTTTGAACTCGTGGGGCCAAAAGTTATCTTTCCAGTAGGTATTCAACCAGCGTCGAGATCTGTATGAAGTCTTGGCCAACGTAAACGTGGCTCGATCAACCATGAGGTCGACACCACGGAGTATGACTCGTAGCAGGGCTTCTACGGCAGCTGGACTCCGGAGTGCTGTATCGTGCCATTGGCCCAATAGATAGTCTTCATTCCATGCTGCTTTGGGCTTTTTTGCTGTGGCCGCAATGATGCCAAGCGGTCGGGTACGGAATAAGCGAGGCCATCCGTCATGCTGCAGCCATGGAGTTGTTTCATTCTGTTCGACGTCGTGATCATCAGGCTGATGGTTACGGACCTTTGGAGGCCACATGTTTGAAGACGGTCAGGGTCGCCAGAGTAGTCAATGCCTCATAGCAAAACTGAACGACCGACAAGAATAAGAATCAATCGAGGAGGGCAAAATCTTTGTTGCATATATACTGGCGTCAATAGAGTCCTTTCTATACTTCTACAACGCGGTCACGAAACACCGCGCGGTCAAGATATCGATTTACACGTAGGCGCCCAGGAGGTAGCATCGCTCTACGCCACAAAAGTAAAGCTAGCTGCGCAGATTGCACCGAAGGAACAAACCAGCCAATGAGAAGGTTTATCACGCACTTTTAATCAAAAAAACCGGCGGGGGATCGAAAACACTATCCCTCTTTCAGTGAAAGAGGAACTAGCAGGGGTATAAGCCAATGAGAGATGTAGAATTTCCTCTTTCAGTGAAATTGGGACGAACAATAAGGATGTAATAGCAACTCGATCTATTGCTTGCTTTCTCACTTTTTCCCTCGCCCTTATAAAGCAACCGGGAATATTGGGGGATAAATAAATAGTATAAAAGACAAATCGTCTTACCGCTGTAATACATACCTCTCGGTGATGAATAACATGTCGTTGCCTCTTTATTGCCGTATTAGCTATGACTACGCTCGCCTCAGCCGGCCGTTTCCTCTCGCCAAAGTCCCCATCGGTGTGGGCGAGAAACTGATGCCATAGACAGCTGATCTCCTGATAGTTCGACATCATCTCGGGCTGCAGCTGATTGGGGAACTGCAAGTTAACCCCGTAGTGGCCCCGTGCTATGCGGCTGCCGTGTGTTGCTTGACTGTCCCACACGTACTTGACCCTCGGCTGCCGGCGCCGCTTACCTGTTATCGGATTAGCCACCTCGTCGTCGCTGTCGGCCTCAAGATCTATTTGCCGTATGATCAAGCCCTTGATCTTATGGCCCATCTCCACGGCTACGTGCCGGTAGCTCGACACCGTCAGCCGGGCCCCGATCTCGACGCCGGAGACAAGCGCAAGCTGCTTGCTCAGTATTGCCGTGTCCTATATCCCCTTCTCGGCCGACTTCCAGATCCACGGGTCGAGCGAGTCGGACGGTCCGCGGATGCCGGCGAGCCGGTGCAGCACCTTCTCGAACGGCAGCAGCCACGCGATGTATGCCACCATCATTCGGCTCAGACGCTCGGGCAAGAAGCGAGCCACCTTGCGGCCGCCTGTCCCGCCGCTCAGACCTTTGCTCTTGTCGCGGTCGGTGATGATGACTACCTGCCCGTCAAAGACGAAGATGTTCTTCGGCAGCTGCTTGGTATTACAGTGCTTCAGCGTTGCTATCTCGGGACCCCGCCCGGGCTGTCCTCCCCAGATGTGCGTTGCCGGATACATCTTTGTTCGGAATGACTTGAGCCAGTTGAGATACTCTAGAACGGCCCCCTGACGACATGTATATCGTGTGCTGCCGTCGCCTGCCTTCGTCATCTTCTACAATCTCTCACCCATGATGTCTGCCAACTTCTCGGCGCCGGGCTGTAGCCACACATTCTTCCGGTTCGTCGCAAACGACTGCCCTGGCCCTTCGTAGACCAAGCTGTCGGCGATATCGCGCAGCCGTATCATCTGCGGCAGCTCGCTGCTCTTCCACCGGCCACCCGCTTTTGAACCCAACCACCAACTTGTACCTTTCCTTCCAGCACACACTTCCCACGTCCTACAGCCACTCGATGTAGCAGTATTTGGCCCTCTGAAGCAGTCATATCTACGTTTTATATCAGATTTCGCCTGTATCGCAGATTCAAGTTATATCGGCAAGATTATATTCCTATATAACTATGAAAAAGCCCGGAAAGAAGCTATCACGAAGTCTAACGCTTATGCCGGCTGGAAAGCTACCGGACTGTGGCCAGTTAACATGGCGAAGGCCTTGATGAACCCGATGGTTACTCAGACACCTATTCCTGCTGCCACAGCTATTTTACCGGCAAAAGAGCAGAATTCCAGTCTTCCAAAGACTCCCCAGTCCTCTATACAGCTTTGAAGAGCTTTAGAAGCTGTCCCAAAGGTTATTACGCTTGACCCGACTGTCAGGCTATTATTCCGGAAGATAGGCAGTCAATCAGACCATCAGGCCTTTACAATTGAACAGCAAAATAGAGAAATAACTATATTACAATTGGAAAACGAAGAATATATGCCAAAAAAGAGAACAAAAGTTATATATAACGGAAATACCGAGTTCGCAAAGGTGCCGGCAATTCGGAAGGCTCGTGAACAGATGCTAAAGATCACTCAACCTGCCAAGACAGCAGCAAAGGTCAAAAAATTAAAATTTGAGGATCTTTGTAATCAGTTTCATTTAAATCTTCATTGACCGAAGTGTTATTGAATTTAAAAAATGTTACGTTATGTTATGGAATTAATTCCTCACGATATCGTGTTCTTGGTGTTTTCGAAAAGGTGGCCGGTTTCTGGGTTGGGGACGTTAAAGGGTAAAGCCGAAATATCGAACCTTGCGCATGATAATATTAAATAAGTTATAGGTATCGATTGAGGAACCTATTAAACCGATGTATATATTTAAATAGTCTAGTGATATTAGTTGCGCATAGCGCTCTTGAGTCTTGCCTAGCTATGTCCCACAAGACAAGCCCTATAGCTTTTCCAATCTACTATACAATCCGCCACGTAATTTTCGAAAACCTATTGGAACCTGGCTAACCATTAATACTTCAGTGGTAGTCATCTAGCAAGAATCCTTACCTCATGCTATGTATACATTAGCTACGTTAATACCCAGATAAAGGGAGGCTTAATTCCAAAAATAGCTAAGCATGAAAAAGGCTTCGCAAACTCGTCTTGCCGCAAGCATTATCTCCAATGATAACCCTTTTCCTAGATAACGTCCGGGCCAGCAACCTGCTTCGTCACGCCGAGATTATAATGGCCTGAAGCTGGATCGAGCTTCACACGACAACTGGGCGATGGCGATGGACACGTAGCAGTGCATCTATGGATAGCATTTCGAGAACGTGCATTTAGCATCGTAACTTATGTGCTCGATATGGTTCGTCGCGTCTCGACGTAAACAATTAGCGCAGCTCTTTTCCTGGTAATCCTCAGGTCCCATAGGTCTCTCCCCCACTGTGGTGATGTTAACCCTAGCTGCAGAATCTCTATTTTCTTCTGGCAGGTCAAGGTTATTTAGTATGATTTTGCATTCTGTCGTGCTCTTCACTCTTCTCATAATGAATCTTCTGATAGATAGCGTATGGTGGTGGTGGTACTTAGATGTTATAATACTATTGGAGAAAGATTATATAACTTTAGCAGAAACCAAGGCCGCTAGGGGTGACTGATTGTCAGAGGTATGAAGAAGCTCCCTCTCGTGGTCAATGCACCCCGCCAATGTAGTCAATTAGAGAAGCTCCGAATGGTGTGGCAGTCAGATAAAAAGTGGCAGGTGCAATTGGTCAACATAACGACATACTGACGCTGGTTAACATATTGCGTGGCAGTCCCCCTACTCCATCCCTGTGCCTCTACGTCCACGACAGATCATGGGATTTACCACCAATTGATTTGGTTGTCATGTCTAAGACGTAAGATATCTTGCCATAAAGCTAAGCGACGTTCAAAATAGCATAAAGCTACAACTCACGTGAAAGATATGCATGTCGCACTGGGTATTAGGATATTGATGGAACAATTGCGCAACCACGCTTCGAGTACTCTGCAGGAAACTTAATCAGGGTGGAATGAAATACCTAAACGATCAACGTAGGGTTCTAGCAAGCAACGGCGCCTGACGCCGTAGAGAACTATAGTTGCAATGAGACAAAACCATTCCCAGATTTACTAGGAACTCCCTCCAGCAAGGTTACGAATGCCTTCAATTAGACCAGAGAATACAACCTCCTGTGAAGAAGCACTAGGCGATCCAGCACTCATATCGTCATAGCCGAGCCCAATGTTCACGAGTACAGGGCCTCTGATAATTATTCGCCCCGTTCTCACAGCTAAGCCAGAAAAGATTATTCTGCAAGCCTTCGGCAAGTCTACAGTTTGTTGGCGAGCAAGCTCCTTAATGGCCAGGAGATACTCGTTTGCCACGGGTAGAAATTCCCCTACGCTGTAGAGCAACTGGCAGGCTATAACCACTGACTTGGACAGGCTTGAATCATCATCAAGCTTGAAGATGATGGCTGTAGCTGCTGCCAAACACGCCTGCGTAAGCCAGTATTCGTGACGCATCCCGTAGACAGCTCGATACACCCAGAGATTAGAGATGATGGAGGCTCCGTATGAGGCTCGCGTAGACGCTGTCGATTCATGCGCATCATCTTGGAGGGGAAACCGGTAGGGGCGGCGCAGGAGCTTGAGAAATATCATCTCATACGTGATCCTTCTCAATAGGTAAGCGATTATAGTAGCATAGTCGGTGCTGGTTCCCCGGGTTTCTATACTTACTCAAGGAAAAGTATCGAGGGGAGGAGGGTACTATGCGCAAGAAATCGCTGTAGAGCACCTGTACCCCATCTTTGCAGCTTTTCTTTAATGACTCTCGTCTCGTTGTAGTTTGAAACGGGTGTTCCAGCTTCCGCCGGCGTAAAGAACCTTGAAGCTTCCTCTACTATGACGGCAAGTTGGCATTCGAGTGAGATTGCTTCTCGATACAATGATTGCCGCGGCTGACGATCGCAGGGGTAAGGGGACCAGAAATATTCCGGCGCATCAGGGTTGGCAAATACGGATAAATAGGCATCCTCAAAGGTCTTAGGTATCTCGGGCTTTCTAATTCTCATCGCACGCGAGAAGATCAAGGAGATTTTTCTTGCCAGATTAGCTCATTAGCATCTAATATTTTAGGTATGGATTGGGGACTTTGGCACCTACGCCTCGAAACAGAAGAATCCCCAGACAATGCAAGACAAAACCTGCCACTCTCTCATGGGGCGGGAGACTTGACTGGGGGATGTATCGTCCATAGCCGGCATGGCTAGGTCGCTGAGTCCTAAAGCACTGTGAAAGTGGTAAAATTCTTCGAGTAAAGCTATGGCTTGGGCCTTCTCTCCATGGTTAACCTCGTAAATCCAGAGCACAATCAACCCCTGCAGCAGGGTTATTGACGGGCGCTGCCGTTCATCTTCAAGCACCCGTAGGGCTTCGTCTGCAAACATACGACCTCTGAAGCGTAAATCCCGGGCTTGCTGTGATGATACTCCTTGCGATATGAAAATCTACAGAGTTAGCTTGAACGAATCAATCATCTAAAAAATGCTTATGAGACGCAACATACATGAGAAACAGCAATTAGAGAATTGACAAGAAATATTGAACATAACCTTGCTGGTTCCATTGGGCCTGCGTTGAGATCTTGTAAAAACACAGTTCGGGGTATGATGTGACTGAGGGTGTGATCCCAGGTGAAGAAAAGATATAGTATGTGAGATAGATATCTGTTATCAGTGGACAAGGTAGTCCACTGAGAGATAGGCAAGACTCCATCAGGGAATTTAGCGACCAAGTCGTCCGTGATACTTAAAGGTTCCGTTCTAATGCCGATTAACCTTGAAGCTATAAGGGCAGAGGATATAAGGGGGTACGCACCCTGGCGAAAGGCCCCCGATACGTAGAGGGAAAGGGATTTTTAATAGCTGCGTGGGTATATTTTGAGAGTCTTGTATGATTTACCATAGTTAGGCACCCAACTAATTGGGATAAAGCTTCACATTAAGACATGTTCTATAGTGACCACTTACTTGATCGTTGTGGAACATGGGGCAGCAGCAGGCTAGCATCAGCAAATGTCTTGATGAAGTCATTAACCGACTGCGCCTCTCGAATACTGTTCAAGAGCTTTGTAGACTCATTTTTCGAGCCCCCGCGCAGCAGATCGAGAATTGTCTTGACGGGGCTTTCCCTCTCAGAAACGACTTGAAGCTGGTGCGCCAGCGCATCATTCCAGGTCTTATCCTCCGAAATAGAGAAACGACATTCACTGACGGAACGAATGCATTGTGAACAAGTCGGGCGTCGGTTGTCGCACTGCTTCAGTCAGCTACCTTATTCTTGTAACGAGCTCGGTGAGTGGGACTTTAATTTTACGCCTTCGACACGCTAGATAACCTCGTCAGCAAGTTACCCTTAGTTTTCTTCTGTTACCTAGACTAACCCTCGCATGCGACTAGTACCTGGAAACGCTTGCGCTTCCCGATGGCTGGCGGTGGCGGCAATAGGTTCTCGTCTCGAGACTTTGGTAGGAGTTTCCGCATATTTCGTGGATAAATAGCGATATAATTCGCCTTCTGATATAACGTAGTTGATAAGCGATCCGACCAGACAAGTGATCCGATCAGCGCACTGTACAGCTAAAAATAGCCTACCCTATAATATCTAGCTACCTTAAATAAAATAGCTAAAAATCCAAAAATATTTATTTTATATATTTTATAGCTATTTATATATAAAAATAATTTTTCTAGATTTTTAACTATTTTATTTTATATACTAAAGCTTATTTATACAGTGTAAAGAGTATTAATAAGCTTTTTTATATATAATTTATATCACAAATTAGCTAGAATTATTTTATTAATAATATAGCTTTCTTATAAGGTAAAATATAAGCTTTTAAAATTTTAGCTATTTTAGGCCTAGTTTGAATTTTATATAAGCTTTTAAAAAACAGCTTTTAAGGTGTAAGTTAAGCTGGTCGGATCACTTGTCCGGTCGGATCGCTTATCAACTACGTTAATCTCAATAATAGAAATTATAAATATGGATTAACAGAAATGCGGTTCAGTTATATTCTAGGCCGATAATATTATTGCAATGAGACCTTAAAATCAAGTTTCTAACGTAAGATATGACGCATGCACTCTACATAGTTGCGTCAGGTTGACCTAGTTATTATTGCGGGGAATATAGGACGACTAGGGTTCTGCTTTTGACCGACTAGTGGTGGTCCCCTTACCTATGAGGCACAAATTTACATGTACATGCACGGGCACTTTAAAAACACGTCGATGTCTAATGGTACGTTTTAACCTGATTATCTTCTGATACTGCCCAAGGTACTTTCAAGACTACCAAGGCTGAATACAGCACTACTCTAAAGATAATCAATGTTCTTTTCTCTCTTGGCCTTGTTATTATCCTTTCCTCTGTTCCCCTCGGGCCCTTTGCTGTATTTTTCTTGTTCTTTGTTTCATTGATTATTTTCCTCCTATTTGGGACTTACTGAGACGACATCACTTACTAACGATAGGATGTACTGGGCAGTTCATCGACCCGTAGTCCACGGATGTTCAGATCTCAGTATCATCCCATCGTTCTACCTCAACTCGACGGATCCATCCGGTCTAAATCCTTCTCGTGGCCATAATGTCCTGCAATGTATCACGCTAATTAATATAGACATATTCGATATCTGATTTATTTCTATCCTGTCATAGATACGAACTCAATATCTCTGACCCCGTCTATAGGTACCAGGGTTATAATATCAACCCCCGCCTGTAAGGCACGAGAATAGCCGATCTTTTGAAAGGCGTGTGCGACCGCTAACGTCCTGTATCGGTAGGCTGCATATATAAAAGCCACGAGTATTGAGCCATTAAGCCCTGGCAGGTCGATAAGCATCTTGATATAGTCGGACTTACTCGCACTACTGATGCAGGCTGTGACGGAATCGAACGACTCAAGTCTCGCACCGCGGATGAATCTACGCCCTTTGTGCTGTTTGCGCAGCTGCGATGGAGCTTGACGCTAGGTATGAAGGTAGCCCGATTTCTGTATTAGACTCAGCTCGCATGGTCCGAATCTCAGCCTTCGTGCTGCTCATGTCGAGGACGGTGCCGATGCCTTACGAGGCAAAAACAGGCAGATCCCTACCAGCTGCTGCTGTGTCAATATTTGCATCGATGGAGTCCGGGAGCAGCACACAGCATATCCCATCGGTTACTGTGCTGACGCTGGTGAGATCGCTGGCCTCGGTACTGATGATGTCGCCAGGGCTGGCATGGAAACTAATATTGGCCAGAGAGTTGATCCTGTCACTATTGATGATGGAAACGTTAGAGATGGCGTGAATAATCATTCTTGATCAGCACCTATGCTTCTTATAATGCGCGTTTGGTGTCCTCAGAGTTAAGGGAGAAAGGAGCGCGGTAGGTTGTATGTTGGTCTGTAGAATCTTGAGTTGCGAGACACATCTGGCGGAAGAAATGAGTCGAATCTGTATCCGGTCAAGTGTGCCGATTTGTTCGTCATTGACTTGGCCGGTAGGGCAGAGACACGGCTCATGATGGCGGCTCAATGATGCCTTCTCGGGCGGTGCCACCTCGCAAGTTCATCAGATGAGGATGAAGATGACCAAGATGTCAATCACCCGAAAGACATAAGCCAGTAATATTATGCGCACCAGTGGAGTACGTATTCCCTTTTTACGGGCAATCGGACCCGTCGTCGGTGCTTTGTTGCTTATAGGGATGTAGACATTTCGCGGCCTAATCCCCATCAACGTGCATGATAAGCGAGTGGAGGCGATCCAGCCGTTTATCATAGGCGCGGGCTAATATCACCTCGCCAACTGGTACCGAGAAAGCAACCTTCCAGGCGATTGGGCTATCGCAACATCTCCCAATGGCTGGACCGATAACGAGATGGGTCTTGAGTGGCTAAAGCACTTCGATCGGTGCATGACCAAGCGATCATATAGTCGCTATCGTCTTCTGATCCTCGATGGACACGAAAGTCACGACTCCGTCGACTTTGAGGCGTATTGCAAAAGAAATAAGATTATCACACTTTATATGCCGCCTCATTCGTATCATCTACTACAGCCTCTTGATGTAGGGTGCTTCAGGCCACTAAAGAAGGCTTATTGCCGGGAAAGAGAGCATCTCATCCGATGCTCCATAACACACGTTTCGAAGACCGAGTTCCTCCCGGCCTTTTACGCCGCCTTTCAAGCCATAATTACAGAAAGCAATATCAAGGGAGGTTTTAGAGGGGCTGGACTTGCTCCTTTTAGTCAGGATAGTGTGATCTCGAAGCTTGGTGTGCAGCTACGGACTCCAACGTCTGCCGAGGAGGTTACTGAACCCTCAACCCCATGGGTTTCAAAAGACCCCAAAGGCAGTACTTGAGGCCCAGTCTCAGTCTCCACACCTGCAAAGACGAATCAGGAGGCATCATAGCAGCCCCCCAGAGTCAATTATACAATCTGTAAAGTCTCTTTCTAAGGGGACTGAGTCAAATATGCATAAGCTTGCAGTATTTACAGTTAAGGTCACGGCTGCGGTCATAGTCGTCAAACTCTGATCGAAAGGACTACTCGGTAACATCCTGTTGCAGCGATGATCAACAGCTTCGTTAGCTACGCCTGTTCGACTCTGATTTTGACACAGTTTTCGGGCACAGCCAGGGCCCTAGTCAGGGATAGAATCCAGTCTTGGCAGCGTATCCCGCGACACCGGCCCGCCAAACTCCTTAGCCCAATAGCGTAAGTTGATGTTTTATTGTTCCAACTGGTAACATTAAGGAAAATTTAAGCACTTAGCTGGGACCTTTAATTAAATCGCCTTTTATATAAACTCAATACGGTATACTAGAGACAGATGTAGGTGGAGATCCTCTGCCTGGGGGTAACCGTCTCCGTACTATTGCGATCCTAACTCCATGGCTTGAATATAGTGCTGTGCCTCGTTTTTAATGTAATGCTGTATTAAGGTGCAGTTGCAACTCGTGTGTTGTAAAAGTTGCATCTTGAGATATAAAATCTCTTCATTCAGGTCGTTCATGCAGCTAGACAGCTCTTTATGGCGTTGCTCTGTAGCCTGTTCATCGAATTGGAGTCTCGCAAGTTCCTCCTTCTTTCTCATGCGACATTTGTCGGCAGCGATGCGGTTTCTCTCTTGCACTCGCTTATGTTTTGTATGTTGTTTGCGATTAGTCATGCCGCTGCTGACGCTAATCCCATTTCCGTGAATAAGAATCCCTTTCCTCCTCTGATCATCCGTATTATTGTCTCCTCTGGCATTGCGTCTAGCGGATATTGGAGCTGCTAGATCGCTGAGCTGCGACTTCCTCTTTCGGCCGGGCTTTTTGAGTGACTCTTGCGACAACTGCAGCGAAGGAGTCAAGGTTGAGGGTGGTTCGTCAGCGACCGCTACTAGGCGTTCGGGTGATAGAGTCTGGTTCTTGACGGTGGAGTATGTATCGACCCAACGGTCTCTCGAACTAGATTCTCCGTAGAATGAGAATTGGTCTTGGGAAAGGTAGTCTTGCCTGGATAAGGTAGTGATGTCGGCTTCATTCTGGAAAGCGCCCAGGAAGGCTGGCGGGTTCATAGACACCGAGACCTCCCATCGAGGGTAGGACGGAACGGCCGCGCCGTATACAGCGAGATCGTCTCCAATAGTCAGGTCTGGGGTGTAGCCGTCGAGCATTGTCACCCCTTCCAGATACAGAAGAGGGTTCGTGTGAGCATCTGCTTCAGAATATCAGATCATACTGGTCTGGCATGGTTGTAAAAATCAACCTACTATGGCTCATTTATCTGCCGAAAGTAGGAACACTGCCGTCACGATGCTCTCTATAGATGACTATCAATGGCTTGTTGAATGGATCGATGAGTGTAGAGGCGAGCGTCTAGAAACCTTTGGTAAAGTCAAGACCTTGGTTGAGATCAGTTTTGCGGGAGGTCGATGCGGGATGGAACGGACGTCCTATTGCAACACGCGGTCTGAATTCAAGAGGCGACCAAGAGAGGGCACCAATGAGCGGTTGGGTTGCCGGCTAAGGCCTTTAAGTTTCCGGAACACATGGGGGTCGAAGTCTGGATCTCTGGTGGTACCAAACCCGTACGGAAAATGGGGGGCTAGTCTAAAAGTTTGAGACTGGAGATGGGGCAAGTGCATGGAAAGTGCACTGCAAATCGACGAGTTCTTGTTCACTGCAGATCAGAGTTTTAGGTCAACAATTGGTTGGTTATTGTGGCTCGACGCTCCACGCCCCACTACAATACAACCCCCATCTCTATACTGTGATTGGATAGGAGTCCTCGGAGTGCGTCTGGCCGTTGTGATTGGTCATTGGAAAGTGGAAAACAAGATGAGACGAGACCTATGACGCGCCATGACGCGTCGCGTCTCAATCTGCAACCTCGACCGTCGTACCAGGAACATGAGGAAAGAGCATGAGATGAGTTCGTCTGGGCAGCTGCGTTTAAGGACTAAGTTGATTCTCGTGGACTGATAGCCCAGGACCTTTGAATGGCGTATTGAAGTATACGGTTGAAGTATAACCCAAGACGAGCACCATACTAATCTCGACCTTTCTCACGTATGACTCGACCACTCTCGACTCCCTGCTTTGATCGTGACTCCCTCCATCCATTCTCCCCAATCTCTGCTAGATAGCATCCATCCACCCGCCCAACACATATCCTTCATAGAGGCAAGACTCTCCCAGCTCTACGGCGGCCGTGGAGATATTCCCCACTCCATAGCCTATCCGTTGTCATAGTCCGACCTTTGGACTCAATGACTTGTCTGGATTCTCGGGCGAAGTGTGTCGCTAGGAAGCTAGCTGGTGTTGGCAATCTCCTCTTTATCTTCGGTCTGGCATGATCAAGTTGGGCCTTACCCTTGGCCGGCCCCGGTGCTCGCAGATGCACACCGTCGCGTGAATTGCTCGAAGTCGCCCTTCTTCATACCTGACACTTAGTATCTTCCCGTGGTATGTAAGATCCTCATCCTTGATGACGATGAGGGGAATAGGGCGGAACCACATTTGCGGTGTTTGTGATATCTGGATGGTGATATTGCCGTGCGTTAGGTCAAAAACTCGCACCGTCCCTCGAGGGAAGCCGGCGCATCTATCCAGATATAGGGTATAAGTGTGGAGGACATGTATGGTCACGGAAAACTTTTGTGAGACAACACACAACACATGACGATCCATCGATCATCGTGTGATCATGTATGTAGGGAGCCCTGGCTGCAGGATACCCTGTGAAGTTTGAACTCACCCCTCACAACGAAATAGTCTCGACCGCTGCGTTAGCCAATCAAGGCATTACGGAGGCTCCGTAAGCCCAGGCTTAAGGCTTATTGCCGATCAGGTGGTGCCCGACACATAAGTGTTATTGGTTTAAGCAAGCCATCTCATCAACGGACTTCCGAGTGCTGGGGTTCCCTAATTGAATACTTTGAGCCCATCAGCGCCAAATAATTCGAATGTCTGCAACGAAAAGGATGACAGGTCTGATGGGGATAGGACGCTGATATGAGATGTTCAAAATTGGGGTCTTCAGAACTGCCAGCCTGAAATAAGGCAGACCCTCGGCCTCAGTCCATTTAAATTGCTATTACAAATACCCTTCAACGTGCGGTAAGCCTCAAGCGGGTAACTGCTCTATCGTTAGACCAAGTTCGGAAACATTTGATCATAGGTGGGTTCTTGCTTTCAAATCTGATACTACACGAATTTGTCACCACGGTGAAAAAGTCATGCATGCTAAGGTACCAGCTGATTTGAGTTTCATCACTGGAGACTTACCGCAGTCGCAGAGGTTCGTCCCCGCACCCTCCCTCGCCGTCGCAGACCGCCGATTCTCCTTCCCTATCATTTCCACTTTGAAAATCCATCAAATATTTAATTAAAAATACCTTCACCCGAACCCACCAGATCCTCTATTTTCAGACGTATTTGAAACCACGTTTAGTATCCGAGACCCATCAGCCTCGCAAATAGTGAGTTCCTTTGGGACCAACTGCAATCAGTCGTCTGCAGCTCGCCATGGCTCTTTCGGCAGGTGCAACAGATGCCCCTAACCTGGATGCGAGCCGCAAGAACGTCTCCCCCAAAAGCCACACTGCGCGTCAAACCAGCAAACAACAAATACGACATCGCGCCTCTGTCGCCTGTGCATCATGTCGCGACCGAAGGATTCGGTGCGTGGGTCTTGGGAACCAGACTGAATGCACCGCTTGCTCAAAGTCCGGTACTGAGTGCATCATCAAGAATGACGATGAACGCAGACGGTATGAGCTCATGTACCTCGGCCTTGTCATGAGCCAAGGCTAATAGAATCTTCTCAGACCTATCTCCAAAGCATACATGTCGTCATTGTCAGATCGAATCTCCATGCTGGAAGGCTTACTTTTAGAAAAGGGTGTTGCGCCACCTCCTGCGACTCATCCTCCGAAGACAAGGCGCGATTTTCAAGACAGCGTAACGAGTACAGCGGGTAACCTAGACCTATCGCCACAGTCTGATCCAAGGTCCATGGGGAACGAAGACCACTCCTTGCCGGATTCTCACGTTGATGATTTTGCAATACATGAGAATAAGTCCGGGGCTGGGAATCAACGTGAGAAACGACAGCTGCATTCACGTTCGAACGAGGATTCGCCGTTTCGTGTCTTAGACTCAAATCAAGAGGACATTGTCCATCGACTCCTATCTACAAAAGGCAACCTTTCATTCGACCAAATCTCTGGACAACTACGTTTCTTCGGTCCTACTGCCAACAGCCATGTTTATGCTGAATCCACAAGCCTATCTGATACTTGTGAGCCGCTGGAGCAGATTCGCCGAGCAGAGAAGATCATTCAATCATTAAGCCGCGAGACACACGACTATCTCATAGATCAATTTTTCCAATATTACAATTCGGTTATCCAGATCATTGATCGAGCTGCTCTTGAAGCCGATCGGATATTAAAATCTTCCAAGTTCTACTCTCATTTCCTTTACATGGCAGTATTGGGCATGGGATATCGTGCAGCCGATATGGATAGAGACGATATGCGCAAAATCACAGTGAATCCACGAGAAAGCACGCTCCATCGAGAAGCCAAACGCATGCTCGACATCGAGCTCGAGCGCCCAGGTGGAATCCCTAGTGTCCAAGCCTTACTGCTACTTGGTGATCTTGAGTGTGGTGTTGGCAGAGATAACACTGGTTGGATGTATTCTGGTGAGTCCTGGTAAGAAGCCCTGTTTTGGAATTCTTTCAAACTGACTGTGTCTAGGAATGGCAAATCGCCTTGCTTTTGATATCGGTCTACATCTCGACTGCACAAGTAACATATCTGAACAAGATAACAAGATTCGAAATATGGTCATGCAAGCGTGCGTTATCTACGATCGATATTGGGGACTATTCCTGGGCCGTCCTCTTGCTATTAAAAGCCAAGATGTTAACTCCCTCTCAAGCCGATTTTCACAACTTGTTTCCTTCGGACTTGACGCTCCCAAACTGGATTTGACCACCGAAATCTACGAACAGCTCATCGAGCTAATGGAACTAGCGGGCCTTATTGTAGAAATACGAGATCTAACTAGTTCCAATAAAGCTGTGGAACAGAATGGCATGTCTGCTACAAATGAAGCAGAGGAAAACAGGTACTTACAGGTCATCAATCTCGACAGGCAGCTTCAAAACTGGTATCGGCGATTGCCCGATCGCATGGCATGGAAGCCAAGCAATGTCAAGACAGCTCCTTACAGCTTTTTTCTATTACATCAGCAATATCATGTAACTATGATTTTGCTCCATCGACCATGGACCAAGTATGGTTCAATATCAGGGGACAGCGCTAGCACAGAGTCACATCCCAGTCCCGACAGTGATAGAATGGCAAATCCTGATAGTCCCGGACACCATCTCGGCCACACCACAGAAGGTTCCTCGATGTCGACAGATGATCGTCAACGGGCTGTCCACGGGAGTCGCACGTCTTTAGCACGCAGTATATGCACCCAGCAGGCGATACGCGTTGCCCGCATCTTCTGGCAGCACCGTCAGCGGTTCGACGGACGCAAGGTTTTCATAACTGGGATCCAGCATGCTGGTACTGCGTCTATCGCATTGATCGCTGCACTCGCGTATCAGCGTAACGAGCCAAATTGCCAAACTTATATCGGCTATCTCGAGATTCTATTTGATGCTGTTAGCGATATGAGTACCACATATCATCCAGCCAGTAGGATGGATGATTTACTCAAAGCTGTGCTTGAACAGCTTCGGAGAAACATGAGCGATGACTCACGGTCGCGTAGTGGTAGCACGGGTCACCAACCCGTCAGTGGGGGAGCCAGCAGCGCGAGAAGTGGTGACTCTCTCGACAGCAATCCATCGGCCCCCGTTGTTCCAGTCAGGCGAGAAGCGGATGCAGAGTTCAGCCAACCTCTCAAGAAGAGATGGCCATCTGTTTACCGACAAGCCTCAGACTTTGCTTCGTCCAAGCCGTCGTTTCTTGGTATGCCGTCGCAACCCACGCCATCTCTTGCTGATAAAGTCTATGGCATGCCATATGGTCAACAAAGTCAACCACCGCTTGACTCAATCCTTTTCCCTATGAGCGTTCACAGCCAACCAGACCAACTTGACCTAGGCTTGGTGGGTGGAAATGCTGTCAACGTGCATCATACCGGAATTGCTTCGGGACACATGGTAGGGGGGATGAACAATACGAGCATCTCCAATCCATTATCAGACAATTGGGGTTTGCCTAACTCGCAGCCGTCTTTTGCTCAGGGTCACTTTCATGGTGCCATCGACTGGACGTCTGGTACTGCTGGTCTCAGTGCCAGTTCAGTCTCGAACCAGAACGCTGCCATGTCGACTGGCATTATGTCAGGAATGGTCGGTTTTGGCTCAATGAAGGAACCAGGAAAGTTTGGAAACAATGAGTGGAGTATGCATGAGCCAGCATCAAACAAGCTCCCTCATATTGGAGCAAACTGGACCAGTGGTAGCGTAGAGTCAGTGGGTTCAGGGAGTATGTATGAGTACGGTCAAAACATGGGCAAGGCAATACGTGTTGATAAAGAAAATAACGACGAACAGAGAGGTTATTCTCTGGACTTTGGCAGTTTTGCCTAGTCCCGTTTACTGGGTTTCTGTCTTTTATGCAAGGCGTTCAAGGTCGCTCACGCTTGTTCTGTAACGTTATTTTGGTCCGGAGCTTTTTTATTGATTTATATGTCTGCATAGCTTAGAAAGGTCAACAAGTCTGTATCTAGCGCTCATCATATGTCAACTCAATCAATCAATCACCCCCAATCAAATCAATCAAATTGTCGAATTCTTCCTCTCATCAAATCAATTCATGCATCTCGAAAGTTGAAATAATTGATATATTACAGATGCATCATGCGATCGTCTAATATCGAAGCAAAAATTCATCTTCCCGGACCACTACCCTACACCAGATAGTCACAGATGGAGGTCTACTTTCTAATAGCGGTGGGTCAGCCCCAAAACCAAGTATCTACTATCGTGTTCTAACGCGTAGCCCCACCACGCGTATGCAATCTGGAACGCGTTTCCCAACCATGTCGCGCCACCAAAACAGCCCCTTCTACATATGTTTTTTTTTTTTTTTTTTTTTTTTTTTTCATCAGCAAAATGTCGAATTTGCCGCTCTCCCCATTCGCCAGCTGGCTTTCCGCCAGCAACGTTAACGCCTTGTCCCACACCTCCCTCTTCCGTCTTCTCACGATTATCTCTGTTGAGACAATATGACTAAGATGGTCCGATCTGCTGGTGGCTAGGATGTGGATACTACCGTAAGGAACTGTGCTCCTCTCAGACACATGTAACTTAGAACTAACAACAACAAAATCAACCCTTTTTACTTCAACAGGTTATGAGCCCGGAGGGCACTACCTTTTCTCCAACCGCAAAGCTGAGTGTTCTCTGTCTTCTTTTCTATTTTTCCTAGACAGCACAAGAAGTCGAAAGGCTTCCTTCCACTGCGCATGCACATTCAGCTTACCTGGAGCTATTTTTCCTTCATTGAATATTTCATGGAGTTTGGAAATCAGCTAACAGGATATGTCTAGAAACCTTTCCAGAAGGACCCTTTGACCCTCCATCCAAGACACCGAATTTGAATCGTCAATCTCAAATAACTGAGAGACTCCAGATTGCAGTCTGGCTGACGAACTTGCCGAACCAGATCGGTCCCTCAGTCTGAGATTGTTGAAGCTCCTCGGTCGGGCGACTTGCGCCCACACAGACCAAGACCGCCTGAAACGTGGGTTGTGACATGATCGACCTCAGATCATCGTCTCTTCTCCAGACAGCGGGAATGATACAAATGACTGAGACCGCTATGCGTTTCACCCTTCGGATAGTCTCTATCTGGCTCGGATAACCCCTATCTATGCGGCATTATCATGTTGCCCGACGAAGACAAGACTCCTCCCCAAGCCTCGACCAAAGAATTGTCGATAGCCGTCTGTCCCTCTGTACCTTGATCGTCAGCTTCCCCGAGGATCCATCATGTCCCTCTCTAAGGAATCGCCCAACCTCGTGGGCAGTTCCGGCACCATTCCAAAGCTGGAGCAAACCAGCCAGTGGCTGACCTGGAAGAGAGAAATGCTCGACCTTCTGGACATGTGTGGATATGGAGACCTTCTGACTAGGAACACTCAACCACCAACTGAAGGGAATAATCTCGCAACTCAGATTGAGGCCTGGAGGAGTCGTCAGGATCGAGCATGCGGCGCCATTCGAAGTCGTCTCGGCTACAACGCCCGAGTGTTTACCACGGGGATCCTGACGGCGCAGGGCATGATCAGTCACCTTGAAACCCGGTATCGCCCCTCGGAAGCGCCATCTTCCCAGAGCTCGACCGCAGATTTCAAGAACCCACTCTCGACTCCTGCCAGATCGGGGGACCACACTTTGTCAACAAGTTCCTCTGCGTACTTGGCCCAGATTATGAAGCCTTCCTCACTGCATTCAATCAGAATCATAACATTCTTCCTATCCGAGATCCAAACAATCGTAACGTTATTCTCAAAGGGGCCGTTACGTTCGAAACCGCCATCTTTGCCACATCTCAGGAAGTGGACAGACAAAGAGGAGCCACTGCAAGGATTGCACATAGAGCCATGGTGGCCCAGGGCACCCCTTGCTGTGGACACTGTGGAAGAAAAGGGCATGACAAGTCAACTTGCTGGAAGCTTCACCCCGAACTCAGAAGAGAGCGTAGCAAAGCTGGTTACGAGAGACGACAACGGAAAATGCAGAATCGAGAGAAGGACAGGGAGAAGACGACTGATGAACTGGAATCTGCCACGTATGCGACTCCTGCATACCTTCAACCTGATCAAGCTCGACTGGCTCTCTGGCAAAATGACTTCCAAGGTCACCTTGGATTGATTGGCTCGTCATTCGGACCGTCTGGTCTCCAGGCATCCCTCCAAGCTCGGGCCCTCGAACGGATCCACGTCTTGGATAGTGGCGCCTCCTCGCATATTTTCTGCCGACATGAGAACTTTACAGTCCTTCAAAAGTACCATGGACTACCTATCAACGGCATAGCGGATGCAAAAGTCATGCCAGGAGGATGTGGAACGTACTGTCTCCGCGTGCAAGGGCCTAAGCGGTCACATAACGTTACCCTTGATAGCGCTCTGTATGTTCCAGAAGGACACTCTAACCTCTTGTACGCGTCAGCACTAGAAAAGAAAGGGGCAGAGGTTGTCTTCCGAAATGGAAAGGCTGTGGTCACAAATGAGGGAAAAGTCGTCCTCACTGCAACAAGAATCTCAGGTGTCTATGTGGTCGACGAAGTTGAGGAAGGTCAGTTTTAAACCGCTTTGGCGTCCTTTTCGGTGGGAGATCCTCGACTGCACCTTTGGCACGAGCGACTCGCACATTTGGGAGAGGAATATTAAAAGACTGATGAATATGTCTACTAGAATTCGACCGGATGATTCTACATCAAACCCATGTGGAGCCTGTGTGCAAGGCAAACTTAGGGAATGTCCTTATATTCGACCGATTAAGAAAGGCACTTACCCTCTGGAGTGTATTCGTGCGGATATTGCCGGACCATTCCCAGAAGTGGGAGTGGACGGAAGTCGGTATTGGGCCTGCTTTATTGATGACTTTACTCAAATGTCCTGGGTGTATCCAGTCAAAGAAAGGTCCGAGTTTGAAGAGTGTTTCCAACATCTATTGGAACAGTTCAAAAGACCGGAAAGACGATGCCACTTCCTGCATCTCGATCGAGGGGGAGAAAATCAAAGCCACGTCCTGACCAGGTTCTGCCGGGACAGAGGAATTAAACTCCTACACAGGAACTGACCAACACGAACAAAATGGATTGGCTAAAGTTCTCAATCGAATCATCCTAGAAAAACTCACACCGACACTGCTCAAATCCGGACTTGCTTTGAAGTGGTGGCCGTACTTCCTCAAGGCAGTGAACCGCATCCGAAATCTCTGTCCTACGGCGAGCATTTCCACTACTCCTTACCAAGCCTGGTATGGAGATGTTCCCGACCTCAGCCATCTGCGAGTTCTTGGCTCACGAGGATGGGCTCTGCTTCCATCCTCTAAACGAAAGAAGATGCAGTCGAAGAGCATTCCCTGCCAGCTTCTCGGCTATCAGGGCAGTACGAACTATATACTCCTTGACGAAAGGGGACGAGTCTTTGTGTCTAACAATGTTGTCGTCTCTGAAAACATCAAAAATGTCGAACCAACACTCGACAATCTTACGCATCAGATGAGTGACCAGAGACCATCGCAAAGACGACGAGTAGTCGGAGAAGAGAATAGCGATGTGGAAAATGCCATCGTTCTAGAGTCGTCGCCCCTTCCGATCGCGTCGAGAGAGGTGAACAGAAGCGGGGAAACGGGCCGTAGAGAGACGACGCCGGATGAGCCCCTGGTGGGAGATACAGGATGGGATCCAGACCAAGAGTCAACCAGATCGAGTATCCATGTTGCCACAGACGAGCGTGAAGTGTCATCGGAAGGAACAGAGGAGCATGCAGAGTCTCGGCTGCCGGAAAGATCGACCAAGGGACAGCTGCCATCGAGATACATACTGGCCAGCACAAACTTCGCCTTCCTAGCAACAGTTGCAGAACAACTGTACCTAGTCGCTCGCGACATCGATCAGTCCGAACCAAGAACCTTCAGGGAAGCCACACAGGGTGTACATGGAAAACTCTGGTAGGGAGGACTGAAGGATGAACACGGATCTCTGGTTGAAAACGGTGTCTGGACCTTAGTCACGCTTCCTCCAGGACAAAAGGCCCTTCGAGGCAAATGGGTGTTCAAGCTCAAAAGAGGAGAAAATGGGCAAGTTCTACGGTACAAAGCGCGATTTGTCATGAGAGGATTCGAGCAGATGGAAGGAATTGACTTCAACAAAACCTTCGCCTCTGTTGTCAAGCCGATGTGCTACAAGATGATATTCGCCATTGCGGCAGCGCTCGATTTGGAACTGGAATAGATGGATGTCAAGACGGCCTTCCTCTATGGCCTCGTAAATGAGGAGATATACGTCCAGCAACCCGAAGGATTCGACGATGGAAGTGGGAGAGCCTGCAAACTCTTGAGAGCCTTGTATGGACTGAAGCAAGTACAAGGGTGTCGGCAGGGGCAGCTAAGAACAAAAGCCCCGGAATGGAGCCCTCATACGGAGGTCAGCGGCAATGAGGAGAAGAAGAGGAAGCGGCCTAAGGTGCGTAGTCAGACCACCTTCGGATGCCGTATCAGTGATGTTGCGATTTGACAAAGCAAATATTGCTGGGACTTCTATCACCACCTAATTTAGCAGAGGAATTTTGTACCCTTTATTTCGTGCATTTTAATTGGCTATAACACCTCGTCGTGACCACAGTGGAGGTCCGCACGCATTGGGGAGATAGATATTTTTATACCCTAAGATTGTTCTCTTGCTTGGTAGCTAGAGAGGAAGGTAAGAGGTTAGAAAGGCAAGAAGAGCCTGTTTCCTACAGCTTTAAGGCGTCTTAGAGTAAGTAAAAAGTTGTTTTAATAACGGCATCACTCTAAGCCAGATGTAGATGCGTGAGTGCAGAGTGAGTGGAGGCCTTACGAGCTCCATGAGTTGAGTTTACCCCTGATATGACCGCGAAATCCTGAATAGGCTAGTGGGGTAGAAGCCAAAGCCAAAGAGGCAGATGTGATGACCGCTAAATTCTGATTGGCCATGAGCCCGACCACAATATCCCAAACTGGTTAGTACTGTGACCGCGAAATTCAATAGCGTAAGCTACGATGGCCTGACGGTTAGGCACAATATGGCATGTGGAATCTGCGCTGTCTCCCGAATTTTCAGAGGTAAACGAAAGATCGATACCAATGTATGATGCGATGCATATCCCATGTGCGCGGCTTGCAGAGAACCAAATTTGATTCAGAGATTGCTACTGCAGGCCAGCCCAGAGGACAATAGATCGACACACCTTCCTAACTTGAGGCGCAGGCAAGCAAATTTTGGCTTTGCGGCCGTAACACGGCTATAAATAACATATCTAATGCACAATTCAAGCATTATACCATAATACCACCGCGGTGGCCTATAGCATTAGAGTCTTACAGTAAGCAGTTATGTCATACAGTAGTATTGCCCAGTTATATTATAGCCTCAGTACACGTGATCATTTGTTGCATGACACTAATGATCCTGTATCCTGCATGTCAGCTTACGCATTCCCAATGTCTCCTCATGGTGTTCGCCAGCTTGGACTCTTTATAGGGAAGTCGTTGGGCTGTCAGATTCTTGTTCCTGTTACTTCATCTCCACTCAACGGCTTCAGCCAGTTTTAGCCTTTGGATAGACGTTTTTGTATCGCACTAGCCTGCTACACTCCTGAATATTTCAAGTGTTTAAGCGGCTCGCAACCAAGATGACCACTGAAGAGTCTCAGAACTTCCTCCGAAGTCTTGTCGCCCCGTTGCGCAATCAAATACCTACACCTCTACTTCATAGGCCTAGCGAGGCCGGCCTTGAGTACGAGGATGTCTTCTTTCCTTCCGAAGACGGTACTCCACTTGAGGCTTGGTATATTCCAAAGTCTGGCTCGAACAAGCTCGTCATTGTTAATCACCCCCTTCGATGCAATCGATCTGGGTTTCCTGCCCACCTGGAACCCTGGAAGGCCTTCCTTGGTGGCACTGCCACTGGCAATGACTTCGAGCTCAATTTCATCCCCGACTTGAAGATACTGCATGATGTCGGCTACAATGTACTCGCCTACGACATGCGCAACTTCGGCAATAGTGGACAGGCCAACGGTGGCATTTCTGGCACTGGCCACTTCGAGTCCAGGGATGTTGTGGGCTCGCTGAACTACGTCCGTAGCCGGCAGGACACCAAGAATATGACAATCGGTCTTTTTAGTCGTTGCCTCGGCGGCATAGCGACTTTCATCGCGGTACACCGTCGACCAGAGGCATTCAAGGATGTGCGTTGTCTTCTTGTCCCCGAACCGCTCTCTTACCGGCCCTTTGTTGAAAGGGCTCTTGAGATGACTGGTCTTGAAGATCGCTTCGATGAGGTCAACAAATTGGTCAAAATTGAGTCAAGTTTCGACATTGACGAACTATCGCCCATCCCAATTATGAAGAGCGTCCACATCCCGACATTTATATACTCTGTGCGCAACGACATATTGACGAAGGAAAGCGATGTGCAGACAATGTACGACTCAATCCCTATCGAAGAAAAGCGGCTTCTCTGGGTTGACGGAACAGTCCGGATGAAGGGTTATACGCACTTTCAAGAAAACCCCCAGATCTTCGTTAAGTGGCTAGCTCAGTATATGGACTAGAATTATTTCGGACCACTTTAGGTACAAGAGGCTATCAAGCTGAAGCAACAGAGCCAGACTGTATTGAAGTGAGCCCCAATTGACTGTGTTGTGGTCTAAGATCTAAGCTGCTGTAGTTGAAATACTGTTATTTATATTGCGCAGTAGTGCTGGGTGAAAAAATATTTTTTATGAAACTTGATTGTTCATTATTGAGATGAGAGTTCTTCTCGAGTTTATATCTCTAGTTGATTTCATCTAGGACTTTGAACTTTAAATCTAGGACTTTCAGGCTAGCAGTCTGAATCCTGAAGGGAAGGGGGATCCCCGGATTTTCCAACAATATCAGATATCGCAGACTGCCAAAATGACCAGAGGAATGTTCTGCGACAGCCACCACAATCATGAACCTTTCAATTACTGTCTCGCCTGCGACATCGCAAAAGCCCTACGATGGACTCCACGAAATAAACGGAAACGAACCTCCAGGGCCGGGTTCATCCATGTTGACACCTTCAAAGTCAATCCACCGGGCCTTAGAGGCGAACGATGGGGAATGATTGCCACAGATGACAGGCATCTAATGAGATGGGCCTACACATTCACGAGGAAGGGGATGGCTTCGGAACTTCTAGGCCAGCTCGTCTCGAAGATACGAACTCAGTATGGCATACGAGTGTACGCAATCCAGATGGGCGGCGGCTCTGAGCTCTATGGTGCGTCTCTCAAGAACCTCGAGTACACTCACGGCGTCAAGATCATCAAGACGACACCATATACTCCTGAATTTAACGGAGTTGCTGAGCGCTCTAACCGCATCATCTTTGACAAAGTCAGAGCAACCATGGAATCAGAAAGACTCCCGATAGAGCTCTGGCCATTGGTCCTGGAAGATATGGTGCGCAAGACAAACGTGACAGCCACCAGGGCAATTGATGGCCTCACTCCCATGGAAAGCTTTCTCAATGAAGCCTTCCCCGGACAAGACAATAAGCCGGATCTGTCCGGAGAACGAATCTGCGGCTCACAAGTCACGATACACATACCGCAGGAACGAAGATTGAGATCACATAAGTTTGGTCCAAGAGGAGAGGCTGGAATCTACCTATGCATGGAAGGTTCACAGATTTACACCTGCTGAGTGCCCTCTCGCAGAAAGGGACATCAGATCGTCCGCTCTGCCAATGTGCAATTCTACGAAAAGGTTGGGGAGACAGAATTCCTGACCGAAACTGAGCATGATATTGAGCCGGAAATCCGCAAGAACGGAGCTCCCATCTCAAGCCGACCACAGTCCGTCACGGAGCAGACAAAGACTCCAAGCCCCCAAAGGTCTGAATTGAACAATCTTCAGCATGCTGAGGTGCATAATCCTCAGCATGGACAGACGACAACATCCATGACATCAGCTAAGCTGCCCGATCACCTAAAAGAGGTGATCACTGAGCCCAAAACAATGACTGAAGCGCTTCAAGGTCCGCAAAGGGAGCATTGGCTCAGAGCAATACACAGTGAGCTGCGCAGTCTCCTCACGAAAGGAACTTGGCGCATGCTGGACCGCAACCAAGCTCACAATAGGCCACTTACAGTCAAGTGGGTATTCAAGGTCAAGAAAAACGAGGACGGCAACCTGGACAAGTTCAAGGCGCGGCTGGGGGTCAGAGGCTTTGAACAACAGTTCGGCTTTGACTACAACCAGACCTTTGCCTCTGTTGCTAAAGCGGCGACTTGGAGAATCCTCCTCACCGTTGCTGCCTGTCTTGACTGGGAGATTGAGCAGATGGACGTGTCGACGGCATTCCTGGAAGGGGACCTCGACGAAGAAGTCTTTATCGAAATGCCGGAAGGACTTGTCGAGTATTTCGACCAACACCCAGAAGACCGTCCGCCAGGATTCTCAACCGAGAAGATCTGCAAACTGATCAAATCCCTCTATGGACTCAAACAGGCGCCTCGGCAATGGCAAAAGAAGCTGAAGGAGACCTTGGAATCCCTTGACTTCAGACAAGCAACGTCTGACACGGCCGTATATCACAATTCCACAACGGGAGTGATTATCATCACATATGTGGATGACTTCCTCATCATGGGCAGCAACAAGGAAGCAATCCAAGGGTACAAAGCCCGCCTGGGAGAGATCTTCACAATGACTGATCTCGGTCCCGCCAGCCATTTTCTTGGAGTAAGAATAACCCGAGACAGGAACTCAAGGCTGATCTACCTTTCCCAGGATGCATATTTTACCAGAATACTAAAGAAATTCGGCTTGGAAGATTGCCGACCGGTCAAGACCCCCATGGAGCGAAATTCACTCTCGACACTGCAACCAAGAGACAATGGCGACTCTGCTCCTCCAGAGGAACGAGAAGACTATAGCTCGAAAACCGGCTCGCTGATATATGGAATGACCCAAACCAGACCCGATTTAGCTTTCCTACTCTCGGTACTCTCAAGATACATGTCGAATCCATCACCAGCACATTCACGATTGATCAAAAGAGGTCTTCGCTATCTACAGCAGACAAGAGACCACGGCCTGGTGCTTGGGGGCGTCAAGAGAGATCCTGAATCCGCTTGGAGCATCACAGCTTAGGCCGATTCGGATTGGAAAGGCGACACTGTTACGGGAAGATCGACGTTTGGATGGCTTGTTCAACTTGAAGGATCAACAGTCTCATGGAGGGCCAAACGGCACGAAACAGTAGCACTATCGACCACCGAGGCTGAATATACAGCACTCTCCCAATGTGCCAGAGAATTGGTCTGGACTAGGAACCTCTTCTCTGAACTGCTCCTGCCACTACATATGCCTATTCCACTGAACGGCGACAACCAGGGTTCCCTAAAGCTATGCAGAAACCCTGAGCTTCACCAACGGACAAAGCACATTCCGTTAACCGAGCACCATATCCGAGAAGAAGTTGAAGCCGGGAACATTGATGTGCAATACGTTAGCACACACGAGCAGGTAGCAGACGGACTCACTACACCATTGAACGCCGTTAGCCCTGGTCACGTTCTAGAAGCAATTCGAGTTAGTGCATGCCCGATCGAGGAAGCAGGTCGCATTATTTGGAGTACTGAAGTCCACGATGACTCTGTGCCCTGAAGACCAGGTGGATGGGGGCGTGTTGGAAAATCCGGGAATCCCCCTTTCCTTCAGGATTCAGACTGTCAGTCTGAAAGTCCTAGATTTAAAGTTCAAAGTCCTAGATGAAATCAACTAGAGATATAAACCCGAGAAGAACTCTCATCTCAATAATGAACAATCAAGTTTCATAAAAATATATTTTCACCCAGCACTACTGCGCAATATAAACAACAGGAGCAGATGGCCCAGCTGCGGCGAGGGAAGAAAAGAAAGGCGGTACCGAACCCGAACCGACGATTCATGGCTCTGGTGGAGACTCTAGCGGCTGGAGGAGCTCTTCCTGACTCAAAGGAGGCAGAAATAGAGGTGGGTGTGGACGAGGAGGTCGAGTCGGTGATTGAGGTGGGTGTCAGGTCAGAGGACGAAAGTGACGACTTTAGGGTCGTAACCAAACACTGCCAGCGCACACGAAGCGGTCGGGAGATCAAAAAACCACGCAGAGAGTAAAAATTGATCAATTTTCTAGGGTCTCTCTCCAAAGCTTCGCTTTTTAATTGACGACCTGGTGTTTTTTTTGCACGCATCAAAATTTGGATTTTATATTGGCGGAGCGAAATTTTGGTTATCCATTAGGTGGTCCTGGATGGTAGGTCCTACCGTTATTGTGGCTCAACGCTTGATCCCTCGTTAGGGTGTAGCCCCCCATTTCCCTAGCTTGTGATTGGTATGAACGCTGAAAGTGTGGAGGCAGCGGGAATGATTGCCAGAGCTACGTCGTATGACGCGTCGCGGCTTGTCACACGATCCCAACCTGCAACTCTTCGGGTCATATGAGGAAAGCCCAAGGCTTCTCGCACGATCAGCCGCAAAACCTTTGATCACCGCACCGACAATATGGAGGAGACGAATGAGTCAAAAATTAAGACGATTCCTTTGGACCTTTTGCCAGGTTTTTTTTGTTTTTTTAGATGTTGTCGCCTGACCAAGATTGTTGGATTCGCAAGTACCGCTTAGAAATATCGTTGGGACTGGTCAAGGATCAGAAAGGTAGAAGACTGGGCCATTGTTTTGCAAAGATTAATGTGCTGACTTCGCTAATTACTTGGGGCAGGTCAGGCCCCAATGATTTTTAGTTGTGAAAATGTAGTAATGCCTAGCTGGAATGTCATTGTCACAAGACCGGCTGAATTGGCTGGTAACTTAAATCATCATGACCAAAAAATTCGGGATAGCCAAACCGTCATCATCCACACATATTGAATCGGATTTGGTTAGACATGCGCTTCTGGGAGTACCCGATTTTTAGCGCTTAAAGCACGTCGCTGTTGCGTCAGCATTAGGATGAACGGCATCATTTGGTTTATTCCTAAAGCTGCCGGGGTTCTTCGTATGTCCGCTTTAAAATGCTTTACACACTTGCTAGCTCCTACTGTACCTTCCCTTGCTGCATGGCTACTGCGAAAACTACAACTTCAGCCCTGACGCTCTATTATTGACTGCCACTATTTGTACCGCCTGAGAAGAAGAGAATTGATCCAGTACACAATGGTAGTAACGGCAGGTTTCCCTATTCTGACTGGTTGCTTGCGTAGATATAGCCCCTGCACGTTCAGACCATTCCTTGGTTGTCACAGCAGGCTTTATTCGCCATCGCCCCGCCGCTCGATATCATCCTACCTCACGAGTCCGAGGGAGCTGCACAATACCATTAAGATGAATCCGTCGTCGGCCGCCTCACTCGAACCAAGGGTTATTCCCTTGTGCGTCTCCTGGTTTCCAGACAATGACCAGGAGAGTCGCACCGGTATCCAGACGTTCTGCCAGAAACGGATCCCAGAAGCTCGCTTTTTCGACCTCGACATTGTTATCGACACGGAATCCCCGTTTCCTCGTCTGCTACCCAGCGCTCTGGGCCTCGCGAGCTCAATGAGCGGGCTGGGAATTCGCAAAGAGGACATTCTCGTAGTCTACGATACAAGCGAATTAGGTATCTTCTCGGCACCACGGGTAGGATGGATGTTGAAGGTTTTTGGTCATCCGAAGGTGCACATCCTCAATAATTTCCGGCTGTGGGTGGAACAGGGCCTTCCGACAGAACAAGGGGAGATGCCTAGCTTCAAGCGTTGCATCTACCCGGTTCCCACGATAGATAAGGGGAAGATTGCTACCTATGAGGAAGTTCGTGAAGCAGTCATGGACCATAATAAAGAGGGTAGAGAAGGCATACAGGTTTTGGATTCACGATCGAGCGACGACTTCAGCGGAAACTATCCTGGGCCACGGCCAGACTCACTCTCAGGACACATGCCCGGTTCGATAAATATCCCATACGACCTGGTGCTGGATACGGAAACGAAGGCATTCTTACCATCTGATCAACTTGCGAAACTGTTCGAAACGAAAGGAGTGGACCCTCTCAAGCCGATTATCTCAAGTGGGACAAGCATCACGGCGTATGTGATTGAGACAGCGCTACAAGAGGCACAATGGGGCTCTTCCGATTCACGTAAGGTTTACGATGGAAGCTGGAGGTCAGTTTATAGCCTTTACTACCCGAACTTTTTATCATGTCTTTTGTAGTGACTGTTAGAAACATAACTAATTATCTCAGTGAATGGACGCGAAGAGTACGGGCATCGGACTATTTGGTTCGGAAGACGAATCCTTAGCGGACAGTACGGGGATATCGCTTTCATGGACTGACGCGTGGATTTAATGGCTTGTTTAAAAGCGAAATAGTTATGACATTCCCAGTGGAGAGGAAATAGGAGGCGGCAGAATGAACAAAGTACATTTGCCTCTCCCCTTTGACTTTGTTATTTGCATTTTCTTTCGTTCAAGGGCGAGTTGCTTCAACAATGACAATGAACACAGGTTCTTTTACATATCTTTGTGGCATGTTCAGGGACCCAATGGCGTCACGGCTGCCTAGTTCTCCAGCTTTTGCTTAGACTTGTCTATCCTGATATGCTGTCCTGATATCATCTCTGCTATCATGCTATATCCGATATAATATTGTCGACAGGCGTCAATGAACTCGACCAGGCAGGCATGTCACCAACGGCTGCATTCCTCAGCACAAGCGTCTTTGTACAAAGCCATGATGATCTAGAGGCATTGCGCCTTCTTTTTGGGCATGGTGCAGACCCAAGTTTCAAAACAAAACAGGGCCTGAACTTAGCACACCTCGCTGCTAGATCTGGCAGGGCTTCAGCCGCCTTGTTACGAACACTAGCCAATCAAAAGGTAGATGTGAGGGCTAGGGATGAGCAAGGACGAACCGCACTTCATCATGGTGTCATTAGCGGCAAGCTTACGAAAGAAGCCCTGTGTTGTCTTCGTGATGAATTTCAATTGTCCACAGAGCTACTTGACGCGCAGGGAAAGACGCCGTTGGCGTATGCAGTTGAGAAGGGACAGGAGTATCACCACCCAGACATGTTCGAGCCAGACCGATGGGCAAGGGTAGAGAAGCTACTACGCGAGTAATGCAGAAGTACAAGGATAGGAAGCCTTTGATCTTCTCAGAACTACAGTACAAGTAACAATAACATCTCATTTCAAGCTTTTCTTTATTATCAGATAAACAAAGAACGTCACCACTTTCTGTCTCAATAATAGGTCGCATTTTTGGGCATTTGCGCAGTCTATAAGGAAAGCTTATCATATCACATGGGCAGCATCGGAAATGAGACCGTCGTCAACCTGAGAATGCTCCTGAGTGAGCTCGTGGACCAAGAAAAAAGTGTATTCGAATTCGATGACAACCTTGGTATCGTATCAGCAAAGAGATGTGCGGTGGCAAGCTTTTTCTGGATGCCAGCCTACAAAAGCGGCGAATTGGTAATTCTAGCTACCTTGAGCCACGTCATTGGTTTCCTTAAGTATTTCATGCATGAGCGCATAGTGAAGGTGCTAAGCGATTTTTCTCAACACCGAATGGGTTCTGGCATTGTACCTGATAAACCGGCGCTCACCACGTTTGATGCAGACTTCGTTAGCTATTGAGACGACTTTGAGAAAGAAGTGGAGGAGGTCACGTCGTCGTCTGATCCCTCCTCCTGCTGGCTGAAAGATCTCCGGTCATATCTTTTTCGAAATATAGGTACATGTGTTTCATATTGGAAAGAGATAATGTCTGGCAAAGGAGAGTACCTCGCCAAGGTCCTCCCCGCCCACGAGCGATGGAAAAACATCTTACCGATCATTCGAATCGACTCTCCTACTGCCGCTATAATGACATATTTATTCAATAAAAGAATTTCCCCTTCGATGGCTTTAGGGGAATGGGAGATTCTCAAAGCTAGTCTAACCTTTAAACTATATCATCGAGGTAGTTGGTTCGTTCGGCAGATTACAGGTCGTCAACTGCAGTTTATCAATCGTCTAGGGTCAGAGTCGTTAGAGAGGGCGATCTCCTGGCATCCATTCCTGTGGTCTCGAGGATGTACAGAATCCTGCGTCCAGACACAAGGCGAATCGAGAGGACCCTTACTAGTCAAGACCAGAATTCCGAAGAGGACTAAAACTAGGCTTAGTTATTTAATTTCTCAGCTTATATAACCAACCACCAAGAGGATCCCTACGAAAGAAAACCTGGTTCCGTTGCGTGTAAAAAATAACGGAAAAGATGCCATCTGCCTACAGGAGAGGCCGCCTGTTTATTAGCTCTTTTGTTGTATGAAAAGGCCACTGGATCTAATAGACAAGCTTCTCTCATCCAGATGAGCCTGTTAAAGATGGCACAGCCGAGGAGATCTGGCACATACGTTACCGTGCAAATATTGATGTCCCGGGATACTTTCAGGATACACTGGGTTCCAAGGCAGTGTAAGTAAGGCATACAGCGTCTAGGTCAACGAAATTATTTGGTCTATCAAATTCCGCTGCGACATGCTTACGCTAGTGGTGCCAGACGAACTGTGGGAGGCCAACAACGCCTTAGCAGGCCCAATCAACAATCAATAAAATCATCAACTTTGGAGCGGGGTAGGGTCGCCAAAACCAGTTGGGTATCTCTGCATGATCAGGAGATTATAAGAGACCGACTCTCGTCGCTCCTTTAGATAGAAAATCAAGTGCTCATTTGATCTTGGCTGTCCATCGGTACATGCGATAGCTGCTGCTGCCGCTGCTGTTCTTTCGAACTTCGGTCGATCGGTCGATCTGATCTTCGGCCCGGATGGTTCGCGTCGTCTGCCTGGTGCTTTTTCTCGTTTCTTTGGCGGTGTCCTCCAGTTGTCGCGCAGTGTCTCGGGCTTTGGTCGTGGGTTTCACCACGCGCTTGGCGTCAAAAAGGGGGTGTCGTGCTCCACCACGATCTCAGCCCCCACTGGATCCGCCTTGTGTCAGACATTACGTGTATTCGGTCCATTGATCCAGATTGGTATATTCATGTTGTCTTCTGTTGAATTCTGCCCCTTTGAGGTTTTACCATTTCGGTTGTAATCTTAAAGTATCCCTGCTTGCACGTGAGACCCCAGCACCTGTTCAACACCTTGACGGTAGGCTAATCAACCTCCACACACACTTATCGGTCGAAATGCCCACAATAACCTGATTTCACTCGAATGCGTTTGCACAATGACATTCGGTGTGTTACCCCTCAATTGTTATGACGGGGATATCCGTGTACCGCAGTCTAGAACATTCTCAGCCCAGACCTAGACAAGGATGCAACACGAAGCAGCACGTCCCACAAAAAAGGTCTCAGCCTCCCCCGTCATCCGGTTAAATGGCGCGCGTGCCCTGTTGCTGTTGTCAAAAAGCAATGGGCGTGGCCCCTGTCCTGACCTATCCTGTGGGAAGAGACTGAGACAGATGCGACCTCACTGAATCAGCGTTGAATGTGTCAAGAAACTCTGTAACAAAGAGCTGAGCCAAGGACCACAAAAAGCTTGACTTTGAGGCTGACGACATCCATCATCTTTTGCCACATCTAGGCACAAGCCATTCAAGCATGCGTAAGCGCACAGCCTCAGCCTGCCACTTTACCAAGAGAAAAGAGCTTAATAAGGAAGGAAAAACAAGTATACATGATGGTGAGTGGTAGTTTGCTTCTATAGGTTTCCCACCCAAAGGACGCAAGGCCTGCGTAAGAGACTAAGACCCCAAGACTCGTGTCTGGCATAATTGAGACAGACAGGGACAGTAAGAAGGGGGGAGGGTCCAACCTAGGACAACACAAAAGCAACAACCAAACATCTCCAACACTCGGATGGACGTGGCCCAAAACATACAATACCATTCCTATATAGCGAAAAGAGATATATCAAATGGAAATCATCACGCCCCAGGACTATCAGAACAACGCCCGGAAGCGCCAGCGCCGGAGCTTACGACCCTGCGATGCCTGTCGGACGCGGAAGACTCGCTGCGTCACAAAGGGCGGCGACGGTGATTGTGTTCATTGCCAGCTGAGAGCTACGCCGTGCACCTTTCAGCATGATCCCCCCGAGCGCCAGGTCGCCAGCACAACCAGCGGAGGGAGCAGCATTCAAGGGAGCGGTCCTCACAGCGGTGGTGATGAGCCGGGCCCTTCAGAAGAGCCAGGACATCTTTCTCAGACACAGCAGCTACTGACCCACCCAGCGCGAAGCATGAGCCAGACCCGTAAAGAGTCACGAGATGACGTCCAGTCCGTACAGTCGGTGCAGTCGGTCCAGACGTTCCTGCCCCCGGCCGAGACGCGCGCCTCTGTCAACAGCGGACATCCCATTGCACCGCCTTTGGTCATCATTCCGGAGCTGGACCGCACTATGGGATGCTCGTCGACACGCTTCGCCGAGCTCTACGGCTTGGGAAGCGACATGGAGCCGATACTAATGCGTCACCGACCCTACGATCCCCAGACTCACGAGTTTAGCCTCGAGACGCACGCTATCCGACGCGTGCTCGAGAGGGATGACCGCCAGGAGTATCCCCTGACCTTCCACATGGCCTGCGACGAAAAAGCAGTCGAGGGCGATCCGACATTCTCTCAGGTCGACGCCATCCAGGCCTGCGTTCGCCCCCACGGTCCAGGTCTCGTTGAGCTCTTCTGGCAACATGTCCAGCCGTGTTATCCTATCCTCTCCAAGGACCCCTTTACCCTTGCCTACAGCCAGTCTTATCGACGCATCCCTGCCGCACTTCTCGGGGCTGTCTATCTATCCGCCATTCGCTGGTGGACCTACGACCCTGAGCTCTCGATTCGGAGCCCCCCTGACGCCACACTCCTCCGCAGGATGCTACGGACGGCCATCCCAGCGTCCTATCACCGCCCAAAGCTCAGTTCCATCCAGGCCGCCCTCCTGCTGCTGCAATGCCAGCCTGAGGAACCCCTCAACCCAGACCACACGTTCCAATGGGGTCTTACCTGTCAGGCGCTCGCCATCGGCCAATGTCTTGGACTTCACCTTGATGCCAGCAACTGGACTATTCCGCAATGGGAGCGCAACGTTCGCAAGCGCCTAAGCTGGGCGCTATTTATGCAGGATCGCTGGGCCGCATTGAGCTATGGCCGTCCTCTGCATATTCATGATGACGACTGGACCGTTGGTGATCTTACACCGGTTGACTTTTCGGATTATGATAAGGAAGGCCCGACCGTTTCCTCTGCTTCTGCCTCTGGCTCTGTCTCAGGCTCTGATGAAGACCGAGGGTCTATTACTGTTGTCGGCATGACACAGTACATACAAATGGTGCGGTTAACGCAGATACTATCAGTTGTCTACTCAAACTTTTACACAGCTCGAACATGTCTCGAGCAGGATACCGTTGTTCTCTTCGAAAAGGCTCGGCCACTCTTTGAAATGCTTACGAGCTGGTACCATAACGTTCCGCCAACGCTGCAGATGAATGTCATCTACCAGCGCAAATTGTGTTTTCATGGATATCTCCATTTCTCCTATTATGGCGTCGTCATGACCCTTCTTCGCCGCTTAATCCGATCTACTGCCCTTCCGCCACGCTGTTCCGACGATCGCGTCCTTTCGAATATTCGTCAGATTGCTCTTCAAACCGCCCAAACCGCCATTAGCTTCGTGATAAGCTTGAGGCCCGATCATCTCGAAGCGTTTTGGTACTTTACGTCGCCCTATCTCTTCTCGCTCCTGGGCTCCTTTACCACCCTGCTGCTCGTAACCTCATTATCTCCGCAGGAAAGTCACTTCTGGCAGGAGACTCTCAACTCCTACCTCTGGAACCTTCGCATGATGAGCAAAAGCCACGAACCTATGCAATATGCTGTCAACCGCCTCGAAGGCGCTATACTGCGCGGTCTGGAACATTCTCTCGCTGTCAACTTGAACGAGCCGCTGAATGAAAAAGTCAGCCCCATGATGGGCAATTATTCCTCCGACGTATATGAATATACTGATTTCGGCGACTGGGATCTAGCTGCGGGTGCGACCGGGCCGTATGACCTTCTGAGCAGTTTCTTTATCCAGCAGAATTCCATGATGCTACATGATCTGGGCTGAAGGGACCTTAAAATGAAGCTTTGTGACTAGCAGGTTAATGAAAGTGTCATTCGACGTCTTCGAGTCCATTGTCCGACTCAACTGAGGGGTCTCTGATACTCATCGAACGCCGCATGCACTTGTCAACTAGATCAACCATGCCATCTTCCACAAACTATCCAAATCTGCGGAAACCTTTACGGTTGTCATCAGCCCAATTGGGCTGTGTGGGTAGTCGATAGCTCAGTGATCGTCCTCCACAAAAGACTTCCACCAGCTGCCCCCTTAAAAACAGGAAGACTCCACCGACGAGACTAACATTGTCGTGCCGCATCAGTTCGGGTCCATCAACAGGTCGTGGAATATGAAAACGATACTGGTCTGCCTAGAAATCGTCGAGCGTGGGGAAGTCAGTCATCAAGGCAACAGAGAAAGGCCGTTTCCCTGGGAACTGAACAAGTTCACGATGAGAGTGAACGACCACAACTAGCATCAGGCAGCAGCCTGCTGCCTATGATATCGGCAGATTGAATATAGGTATAAGAGACCGACCTTCGTCGCTCCTTTAGATAGAAAATCAAGAGTCTTTCGTTGCCCGATTCGCAGGGGATCTTCCCGATCGTTGTTCAGTCATCCAAACAATCGTGTCGTGCGACAGCACGGCTAAAAGTTAGCCCCAAGCACCACGCTCATCACCGTCAAGATGTCCGATATTGACGATACCTCTTCGGTGGCCGCCCTCTCGGAAGCAGTTACCGAGACGGCCAGCCAACCGTCGACCCTGAACACGAGATCCGCCGCAGCCGGAAGCACCGCGTTTGCTACTTTTCGCGGTGGACGGTCCGTTTCCGACCAGCTTCGAGACATCGACACCAACGAGATCCCTACTGAAGTTAGCTTGATGAGCAAGATCAAGATCCAACGCGAAGATTACGTACCGACCGAGTGGTTACACAGGAAGAAGAGGGCGAGGAAGTCGCCTATCGACCCGTATGGCCGGCGGCTCGCCAAAGTCGTTGGAAATAGGGAGAAGGGGGACTTCTGGCTTTGCAACCAGTGCGATAAAAAGAAGGAAATATCGCTATACGCCCTCGTCAACAGCGGTACAAGCGGAGCGCTTCGGCACTTAAGGAAAGATCACGATCTTCTTGTTGGCGAGGTAGACAGCGAGACTATAGAGTCTGAGCCACCTCGCCGGCGTCAACGCCAGCGAACGGTACTCGACTTGCAAAGGCAAGCCGCAGAACGGTTAGCTCTTCCGAAGCCGAAGGCAGAGCTGTTCAAGGAGCTACTGCTCCGTTGGATTGTAGATGCCGATGTACCCTTCTCGGCCGTCGAACACCCTGACTTTCGAAAGCTTCTCGGTTTATCAAATGAAGAACTCGTTGACGAGCTTTTGCCCCGCAGCGGCGTTACAATTCGATCGTGGTTAGAAGCAGAGTACCGGTCGCAAAAAGAGCTATTGAGAAGTCAACTTACAACCTCTATGTACAAGAAGCATCTCACCTTCGATCTTTGGACTTCCCCTATCCTATCCTATCCTATCCTAGCTGCGCGGCAGATTCGCTAGCGAATCCATTTGAACGCCTATAGTAAAAAAAACGGCGCTAATGAACAAGCATAGCGAATCCATTTAACCCAAACGGATTCGCTGCACCCATAAATTTTATCGAGAACATCATATACCGACCGACTCAAACTAGATACTGAATATAACGTAAAACTTATTAGCATAGTAAGAAACCATACATTAGGAGCTTAAGACTTGCCTTACTTATATTTCCATCAGTTCTTCTAGCTGGTTGTTGGTATATTCGTCTTGGAAGTTGATGACCTCGTCGTCGGTCCCAAGCATTGCAGCCAATCAGAATTTAGCGGTCAAGATGTGGCCGTTTTTGGATATGTGGGGCTCTCTTTCAGCCAATCGTGAATTTCGTGGTCAAGATCCATCCATTTTCAGAAGCGAATCGTGCTATTTCATATAGAGCCTAGCGCATCATTCCAAAAAACTAAGCCGAAAGAGAGGGAGACCTGTTAATTATCCTTCAATCTGTGCGAATTTTCTTGTCGGCCGTGCTATTGCATGAGTTAGAACATCAGAATACCGATCCGCCCAGGTTAATGCTCTACTCCCTCCGTTATAAAAGAGTAGATATCTGTACTGCAGGTATACTGACTGTAGCTAATCTGGCCCGCTATGTAAGAGGTATTCTCGTGGGCTGGGGTGCCAATTAGCACATGCTGCTGTAGCAACCGCAAAAGCAACAAGATAGTCATTGGGGTATCAAAAAATAATCTCCGGCATCAACACAAAGTAACCCTTACCACCTCATACAATATCATACTGAAATTAATATGGAGAGACCACCAAGACGTGGACGACCACGCAAATATGCAACAGCTGAGGACAAAGCGACGGCAGACGCTCAACGCAGGCGGAACAAACGGCAGAAAGCTGCAGCTAGAAATAAAGGGATACCCTATAGCAATTTTCATAATTTGCACTATCCTATTCAGCAGTCAGATAACTCACATAGCAGTGCATTCACACAACTACAAGAACAAGACATAAGCAACTTTCTCCTTCCACCTAGTCCTCCACTCCAACCCACCACCGAGGAGGTATTCCCTGACCATGATGAGCCTCTCAGATCAGCATCGATTACATCACCAAACAGTGCGCCTGAAGCAGACAGCATGGACAGGCCATTGTCCCTACCCGCAGTAGATCCTCAGCTACCCGGAGATATCGATGAACAGGGTATACCTCGTACCACAACTTCCGCCTTTGCGGAAAATCCGGTAGCTGTTTCAATTCACCAGGGTCCTGACCTGGTTCAGGATATTGTCTCTGATACAACCCTAGAGACCTCTCCACAAGTGGGGAACGGCGAGTCAGATCCAATTGGGCATCTCTCACAAGAGCTGGCAGAACAACTTTTCAACTTTCAAGGATGTTGCAACGAGTGCCACCAGGCAGCAAAGCGCAGTCATATGGGAGATACCAACGAACATATCAGCCTTGCCATGTACCTGCACTTCACGCCTGAATTAGGTCCTGACATCCTCAGTCGTGAGACCATCGCGCACCAGAAAGATGATGTGGCTGGAAAACTAAACCCTGAATCCAGAAGACAGCTCTTTTGTGGTATTGACTCCAGAGAGGAGGTACCATATATCTGCTTGGATGAAGATGAGCGGGTTTCAGATGGTGCTGGGGTTACCTTCGATATAGACAGTGTCGTGGCCTTCCCGAGTAGCCTTGCTGTTGCTAAGAAGGGAATTCACTGGTCTCCTACCCGAATGACTGTATCTGATCTTCAGTCTGATCTCCACCTTCGATCAATACCTGTCACGTTCCTCGATACAAATGGCAAACAACATCAAGTCCACCGACCTGTACACCAGATTCCTCACTATACATTCGGTCGTGTTATTGGATTTGAGGATATATCTTTATATATTCTGTTCCCTAACCTATATCGAGAAGAGCAGAAGTCTAGTAAAATCAGGGATGAAGACTTTCGACTATGGATGGATGGTATTCTGCTCCCTGCAATATACCAATGCTACAGCACAGCTCATGTCCAGCATTATCCGTCAAGCTATGACCACAGTCGTTACAACTCCACCGCCCGCGGAATAGAGGGACTTTCTCAACGTGTGCACCCAGTGGCACGGGAACAACAACTAGTGTATTACTTGCCACCAGAGGCACTGGCAGATGTTTGGGCTACTATCACCACTGCCATTCAAGAACCAGGATTCCAGCAGTTCCGGAATGCTACTATTCTTCTTCAAGCAAAGAACCTGAAGGTTCTCACAAAGGACGTTACTTGGGAGAAGATGATGTCTCGTTTTGAACAGTATTGGACCAGTGCCATCGATAACAGCCATACGACAACAGACCTCTACTTTGATATTGGGAAAGAAACTTGCCCTCAGCAGCCATCTGAAGTTGTACCTTGGAGCCAACTGGCAACTGGTATTATTGATGATCCACCAGATAAACAAGCAGAAACACTACTTTACCGGCGATGTTGCTTAGAATCATATGCCTTCCAGGTCGGCAATAGGTATACTGATGATAAGGGGACCCCAAAACAGGTCTTTTATCCATTCAGTATGCTTAAGGATACTGGGAGTCTCACTATAGAGACTGGAAAGCGCTCTCAGCGCCGAGCTGCTGGCCTTCTATACTCTCAATTCTACTCCAGTGTCAAGGAAGTATTCGCAGCCGGAAATGTGTATCCGTTCACAAACGCGGCTATCGAAACACTTGCCCTTGATAAAAAGCTAAGAAAGACATGGGAGCTTGTTGGAGGCGGTCTTAGCCACCAGCCAACGGCATTAATCAAGGCATACTTATACACAAAGCTTCGATGCCACCATGCCATATTAGGATCTATGCGAAAGTCTTTCGGCATTCGAGAAGAGCATCGTGTTTCGAAGGAGCTGTTCTATGCTATTGACAACCAGATAAGATCCAGAGAGCTACATGAGAAGCGCCTCATCGTACCTACTGACGATGGTTCCCCATACTATAGCTTTACAACTGATACTCTCCTCACATGGGTGAGGTGTAACATCAACAAGTTCTGTGTAGGGTTCGAGATGGTATACAGCTTCCAAGATCCACATTTTGTGACTTGGGAACACACAAGAATTATGCTCATGTTTCTTCGCTGTCTCCAATTCTCATATACAGGCGGATTGATACAGAAGGTCGCTGGGTGCTGGCGAGACATACGACTGCAACCCGATGCAAGCCAGCCAGATGGACTTCGGCGCCACGAAGGTCTTGGATTCAAGCTTACCATGGAGAGGTATGGTTATGCTTGGTTTCTTGACAAGATCGACTGGAATACGCTTACCTTCCGCCAACCTTATGCACCTTATATGATGTTTAACAACCCATCGATGCAGAATGTGTATCGCGCTCGATACCACCAAGTGCGAGACGTACGGATCGACTTCATTCGAGTGAATAAGGCCTACCAGTGGATGCTTGAATTCAGTTCTATTCCAAAGTGCCTTGACCTCCTAGAAAATTACCTTCGAGAGCTGTGTCTGTGTGCCTTTCGAAAGGACGTTTTCTTCCACGTCAAGTCAGCTCTGAGGCCAGAATGTCTGGAATCTGCATTGTCAGGAGAGATTCCCCTGTGTTACGGTAGTGTTAATAACGCCATGCTGAAGGATCACCAGCCCCTTCAGCTTGCACAAGGAAATCGATTGGCGGTAAAGGATATTCATGTCTTATTTTCTTGGCTTTGGAAATCGAAGGATGACTATTTTGAACGGCAAGGATGGAACGAGAAGCCATATCGCATGCTATTCCAACAGAGTTTCCATGCCATCAAAACTGCACGAGGCAAGGCTGGCGCACGGAAATGGCGTCAAGACCTGAAAAGGTCGTTTCTTGGAAGCCATTGGATTCTCCCCTACCCGCATAGCCGAGGATTCATGCGGAAAGACAAGGAAGAAAAACAATTCATTTGGTGGCCTAGCGCGCATTATGGGCTCATCAGACACTACGCCAAGTCCCGACAGACTGGAACTCTTACTCATCCACTGCCAGCATCCAACATCAACACCCATCCTGTTGACGGCTGGCAATTAGCAACCACTCTATTTTCCAAGAGTTACATGCCCCATGTCATACAACCCGAACAGGAGTTAATTCGAATGCCTGAGAACGAACTTTATGCCCAATTAGTTCGTCTTCGGGAGCAAGAATCAGCCGGGCTGACCCAAAGCCACTTTCCAGCACATACACTGGAATTAGACAACTCTCCTGAGAGATATTATTTCCCAAAGAAATGGTGTCCCATAAGGCAGATTGAAGTCGCTAAAACGTTCGAGGAATGTGACGAAGTTAATGAGTGCCTGTGGTTTTTGAAGAGAGGGTTGGAAACCTACGAGCATCTCCAACATGGTCAACTAAAACGACGCAAAAGGCGGCGTCAAAATCGTGCTATGATTCAATCAGACACCGATTCGAGTTCATTCTCAGGGGGTGAAGAAGGTGAGGCTACCTCGGATGAGGAGAGCCTTGGTGTTATGCGAAAGAAGCAGGCGCAGGTCGTGCGCAATATGGAAACCCGAGTACATGAGCTCATTGAAGCACACTATCGAAGATATCCGCAGTGGAAGAAGTGTTATGATCCTGAGTTAAGGGAGCTAAATTACCGCCTCGAGAAAGTTGAATGATGTCCAAGTGGATAATAAATGAGCACAAAACAGAAGCAGGCACACAAAGAAAGAACAGCTACGTATGCAAATGACTCACTTCTTAGTGTTGGTTGATAATAAGATTGGATTCATCATTGATGCCTTATTATTGTAGGATTCCCCTTTTGCGAGCTTCCCTAGTAACTAATAACCAAATCAACTCAAGTAGAGTTGATTTTATTGACCCACTTTAAGCCTAGTAGGGTTGATTATTGCCAGGGTGTATAGTTGATTTAACAGTATTCCATATATAGGGATTCTTTTTCTCGTGGCCTTTTCCGTTTTTCTTCAATCCGATGTAATACATTCTTTTCAGCTTGATCCTGTGCCGTGACAATCTGGTGAGCTTCTGGAAAAGCCCTGTTAGGGTCAAATTGAACGGGGACTCGGCCAGTGGGCTCTTTTGCTGCTAGTGAAGCTTTGAGTATAGCTTTTTCCTCTTCCAAGCGCTGTATCTGACTGTTCTTCTTGTCAATGGTCTTCATCGCCTTCTTCAGTGTACAATTGAAGTCACGAATCGCTGCATTTCCTCGCTTCTGAGCTTTTAGAAGCTGCTTCTGAATATCACTACTTCCTTCAAGGGTCCCCCAGATCATATCGTCAATTACTTGACGCTTCTCTGGTGTTGTAGGGCCGGCAAAGCGTTTCCTAGTGCTCCATACCAAAATCAATTCTACTGTACGCAGTCGTGGTGGTAATTCGACGAAATACAACAAAACTGGCCCGTGCATGTTGCTGGGTCATCCGTGCACGCGTCATGTCTATGTATTTCATCAAATTACTAAACAGGGACCATAAACACAAGGAGAAGACTTCACTGCATTTTTGACTACACGCGAAGGGATCAGAAGAATCATCGTTGGTTGGGAGAAAATTCGTGGTGGAGACTGCCCGTCATGGCGGACCCAATAGAGGCCGAGATCGTGTGGAGCAGGATGACGCCCCCTTTTCGACGCCAAAGAGACCGAGTCGAATGGTGAGGCCAACGAGCAAGGTCCGAGACACCGCGCGACAATTGGAAGACACTGCCAAAGAAACGCGAAAAACTACCCGGCAGACGACGCGAAATGTACCGGCCGAAGAACAGATCGACCGACCGACCGAAACCCGAAAGAGTAGCGGCAATGGCAGCAGCAGCGATGGAAGGGCAATGCTGCAGAAGGTGCTGGATCTCCTGGCAGAGTCGCGTCGGGAGACCAAGAGGCTGCAGGAAGCGCTGAAGGAACAGATGGAGATGACCAGGGAACTTAGGGAAGCTGTTGCAAAGCAGGAAGAGATAGTGCACGAGATGGGCAAGCGGATGGTGGAGATCAAGGATCAGATGACCGAGGAACTGCAGCGCGTCCGCGAGCAGCTCGAAACTATCGCTACAAGCAATGGACGGACCTCAACGATCATATGCTGACGTCACACGACTGACACCGTTCTTACCCCACAACGATTCGAGGACCTTAGCCGCTCCTCCGAACCCCACAGACATGCTTTATTGCACGATTGACGTTTCAAGACTAGAAGAAGATGAGGCTAGGCTCTCAGCCGGGACGATCCGAGCGACAGTGGAGAACGAAGCCCGCGCCGAACTGGATAATCCCACACGTGGCGATGCCGAGCGGTGACTAAGGACCCACAGAATCCCCACCGTGTCAGGATCACCTGCAGGGACGAGAGCGAGCATGAGATTGTGAAACGCGTAGCGGAGACAAAACTGGCCCCAGGAGCCCGGATCCTACGAGACGACCTGTACCCTATCAGAGTGGATAATGTCAGCCGTATTGCGGTGCTAGACGAGAGGAACGAAGTCCCTCTAAATAGCAGTAAGTGCGTTTTCTGGAGGGTAGATATGGGATAGAGATGTATAGGCTGTGATTGGATGGAAAGGGGAAACACAGTGCGTTTTTAGTCTACATACATAAGTAGGGTCTAGGGTTGGTTAAACTCGAAATCCAGCAATGAAAGAAGCAAAAAAGCCAACCAATAAAATAGTTAGAACTCCGCTATAAATCGAACCTTGCTCGGGATCCATTATTACAAGCTACTCTGTAGAATGCGGGGAAGATACAGGGATTATCAACCAATAGGATCGCGAAAGGCCCACTTTCAGTGAAAATGGGACGGACCATAAGGATGTAGGATTCTAAGTTTTTCCGTTCATCCCCACGTGCTATCTTGCTCCACAGTAACACTTAGCTAATCGTAGCGGCTAAAAAGCACTTGGTTATAAATCGATTAGGCTTAACTCCCCTGTTTAGAGTATTTGGATTCCTCACCCATCAGCTTAACAGAAACTGACAGCTTGCTCATCCTTGTGTTTGTTAATTATGCAACCAGCGAATCTCCAGCTGCAGTTTTACTCTGAGCGCGGACTACATCCCTATTGTCCGTCCTAGTTTCACTGAAAGAGGAAACCCCTGTTGGTATCTAAGGCTGTGATTAGCCAGAGAGAGGGACCAGAGTGGGGTGAGGTAGAAAGCCTAGGAACTATTAAGAGACGATTGAATAGTAATCGTCTAATAAGTTAGGTTATCTCGCTTAGATTTTGGACTTGAATCGGTTGGGCTTGGGCCGAGTTGCTGATTGGCTTAAAATAACCCCAACCCTACACTTGGGGTTAGCTAATATGAGCTTGGGGTTAGCATAATGCAGAGGAAAGGGGACTGTAATTGATAGAGAAAAAGAACAAGACTGCTTCTCTCTTTACTTTCTATAATTAAGATTAAAGAGGCGACATCAAACAACAATGGAGGACATCGTATAGCTCAATCAGGATTATCAAATACTCATCTGCCGGCTATGTCAAGCAGCCGTTCAGCCCGGCAGCAGCATTGAGTCACATTTTCGACAGCAGTATCAGCTCAAGGGACAAGTGCTCAAGGATATCATAGACTACTATGGTGAACTAGAACTAGCTGACCCGAAGCGTATTGCAGTACCAGAAGATAACGGCCCAGCAATCGAAGAGCTTGTTATTTCAGGTAGGTATAGCTGTTATATATGCTGATATCTTACTATTGCATACGATAATATTGTCCGTCATTGGAGAGAGGCAGGGCATAATACAGCAGAGGAACCGTGGACTAAGGTGCGGCTATAGATATAGATAGGAGGAAGGCATGCGCGCTACTGGATCGTTCGAGATGATAGCGATAGGAATGGCCCGTTAGATGTGGCTAACAAAGCTGATGCTGGAAATCAGAGCGCTATAGACAAGGTCATTGCTGCAAGTCTGGCTCGACTAAAGGAAGAAGATGCCATACGACTACGGAAGGGTGACTTGGAGGAAGATATTAACCGTGATTCGCCGTGGGTCAAGAGGCTAGGCTAGGTACGGCACTTTGGCTCCCGGGACTTGGTCAGTATTCACGACGCAGCCCAGTGGCTACGGGCGAGGGCAGCAACGGGCAGGTGGGCTGGGAAGCAAGAAGACGAGGAAGTAGCCCGTGAACGACTGTTGCTAGGCCGGCTCGGACAGAGCTTCGATCGTGAGGTGGAACGTTGCTGCTGGCGACTCGATGGCGTGCCGACAGAGACATTACAGTGGCTCGGCAGCATCACATCAATGACCCCGAGCGGTATGCCGTTTGGCCGTAAGGGTAAGGAGGAATCGATGAGTCAGTATAAGTCTGTCGGTCACCGCTATTTGAGCTTCTGCTGGAAGGCATACCGTATCGGGCGCGAGGAAGCGCTTGAACGCTGGGCCGTTCGCTTTACGGATGAGCAGTGGAGCTTGCTGCAGGATGTGGCAGAAGAGCTTGAGAGGGATAGGGTTCCAAGCAGTTATAACAGCAGATTTTCCAGTGGCAGAAAGAGACAAGCTAAGGATAAGGACGAAGACGAAGACGAAGATGGAGACGGAGATGAAGACGAATATCAAGACGACGATGACAGTGACGAAGACGAGCGAGGAGATAAAGGTATGACTAGCCTGCTGCAAGATGCACTAGATCAAGCTGTATTCCGGTTTATCGTAGCTTCGATTAAAACTCATGTTAGTGGAAACACATATACGAATTCGCTACTATGTTTCTGTGCGGCGCTTGGTATTAAGCAACGCCCGATAGGCTACGTCGAGCCACATTTATATACCGGTCTGCTAGCTGCTATAGTGTGGTAGGCCTGGCTGTTCTTTTTAGAGGCTGCATTTGAGAATTAGCCGCTAGATCGTAACGAGGTCGGGATCAAGGCCGTACTTGCATTTCAGGAGCAGCACATATTGTGGATGTGTATGGGCACGCACACCGTTATGAGCACGGTCATCGGATGGATGGCATACGGGAAAGGGTACTGGCAGAAGATGGGGGGGCAGCCGTCGATACGGTGGTCCGACGACGGAGAGGGATTATTTCATATGGGCGAGCATATCAGCGTCGAGGATTTCATACGCACACTGCGCGATGAGGTGACCGAGGCAGAGAAGCTATTAGATAAGCTATTCGGGGGGGTATGGCAGCCGGTCAGTAAGAAGATCGATATGGGGCGGATTATCGATAATATGATACGGCTCGGGGCAGGTCAGTCATTTGCAAGCAACCCGAAGAACAACTGGCTCGAGCCCGGGCCGGCAAAGGTGATGCGGCTGATGGAAGCATCGATATGGGATGCCGCAAGGGCCCGATGGAAGCGACATCGTATTAAGAAGTGGCTTTGAGACTTGCGGCTGCTGCGGGAGACGCTGCTCGTGCTCATATATACGTGGGGTGGGCTTCCGGGAAGGGGACCGGAAATCACGACGCTGCGGCACTGCGATTCGTGGCAGCTGATCTGGAATATATTCATAATGGACGGGCAGGTCATGATCGTGACCGACCGAGACAAGATGAAGGCAATCCGTGACAACGGCCGGAAGGTAGCACGGTTCGTCCCCGACTGGATCGGGCGGATGATTGTGGCGTATATCGCATGGCTGCTTCCGACCGAGAGGGTACTGCGGCGGGAGTGTCAGCTTGCCGAGCCGCGTGGAGAGCAGCTCGAGTATATGTGGAGGGATGGCAGCTCGGCGGTATGGGAAACCGACCGGCTCAGCAGGAAGCTTGCTTGCATCATGCAGGCCGGGACGGGGGTCAGGTTAGGGGTGGGACGATATCGGGCGATCGCGATCGAGATGGGGCGGAGGATTCGAGGGCTTGTGATGAAGCAGCTAGAAGGTAAGATGGATGATGAGGATGAGGATGATAACGTCGAGATCGATCCGATCACAGGTGAGCCGGTTGACTGTGGAGGAAGCTGGAATATCGTATGGGATTTGCAGTCGACGCACGGAACACGGATTGCGAGGCAGCACTATGCCGTACATATCGGCTTCCCGGGTAAGCTGCAACCGGAGATGATCGCGACATTCAAGGAGATCAGCAGGCTGTGGCATCAGTATTTAGAGGGAAGCAGTATAGAGGGAGAGGGGGATACAGAGAAGACGGCGGTGAAGCGTAAGCGGGATAGTCAAGTGACGGGGCAGCAGCAGCAGCAAAGGGCTGATAGTTCAAACCGAGCAACTAGCCGCAAGCGGAGAAAGACGAATAAGGAGGGAGAGGCGGCTTAGAAGAGGAAGATGATAGGGGACGAGATGACGGATGGGCTGCGAAGGCTGCTAGGACCGAAGGCGACTTGGCGATCCGACAAGCAGGCTGAGTGCATGCGATCGATCATGGCACTCAAAGCAGATCAGACGGCGATCAATGTGCTACCGACCGGGGCCGGCAAGAGCATATTATTCATGCTGCCGGCCGTGATGCAGGATACAGGCATAAGCATCGTGGTCGTGCCGTTTGTTGCACTGATGGATGACTTGGTGGCAAGAGCAACAGATATGGGGGTCGACTGTATCTGATATAGGTCATCGATGAATTCGGGACGAGAGGGCATGCCGCGGGCGGCACGCTTGATCGTCGTCAGTGCCGATATTGTGTCAAGCGCCGAGTTTTCCGGGTACGTTGACGGGCTGTCGTGTACAGGGCTGCTGCAGCGGATATTCGTGGATGAATGTCATACTGTGATCATGGATATTGGCTACCGGGCTAAGCTTGGCGAGCTAATTGGGCTACGTCGGTTTGGCTGCCCGTTAGTACTGCTCACAGCAACGCTGCCTGTCGTGCTGGAGGATTGGTTCCGTGGCGAGATGCTAGCGAAGTCAGCGGTCATGGTGCGGGATCGGACGGTTAAGCCGAACTGCCGCTATGAGGTTTAGCAAGTCAAGCCCGGGCGTGATGCTGTTGAGGATTGCACGGTCGAGGTGATCAAACAGCTAGATAGAGATATGACGGGTTGTCAGAAGGGGGTCATATACTGCCGGTCAAAGAGTCAGTGTGAAGCGATAGCTGACGAGATCGGCTGCGGGTTTCATTACAGCGGCATGAGCGAAAAGGACCGTCACGAGGCGCGGACGGCATGGATAGAGGGCGGACATACAAGCCGTTGGATTGCAGCAACAACAGGGTTAGGGACAGGTATTGATATCGAGGGGATTGTGGCCGTGGTTTATATGGAGAAGCCGTATGGGCTCGTTGATTTTGTGTAGCAGACTGGGCGAGGAGGGCGGCGGGCAGGCGAGGTGGTCCGGTCAATCATCGTACACGACGGACGGCGGCAACGAGAGGATCAGCATCGAAGCTTTGTAGATGATATCAATCAGGCACAGATGGAGGCATTCATATCAACGCCGGGATGTCGAAGGGCTGTGATTTCGGCGTTTATGGACGGAGCAGCCGGCGAAACGTGTAAGGATGTGGATGGGGCTGCACTTTGTGATCGATGTGAGCTGCTTCAGCAGGATAATAATAGTGATGAGGGTGCAGGCAGGGCCGAGGGGGTGATTGAAGGAGAGAGTGAGAGTGATGGAGAGAGTGAGGGAGAGAGTGAGGGAGAGAGTGAGGGAGAGAGTGAGGGAGAGAGTGAGGGAGAGAGTGAGGGAGAGAGTGAGGGAGAGAGTGAGGGAGAGGGTCATGACACGAGAAAAGGCGGGAGGATTTGGAAGGCATATGGCAAGGAAGAGGGTATGCGGATTAGAATGCTTTTCCGATGGCTAGACGATGTTGCAGAGGAGTGTCCGGTATGTCACGTCCGACGTCATCAGAAGGGACTAGAGGTAGGGGAGGTCCCAGATGAGCCGCGGCATGAGAAGGCCGTGCAGTGGTGCAAGGTAGTAGGAGAGGAAGGGTATAATGCGGCACGCAGAGAGATCAGGTTCAAAGAGCTATTATGCTGCTTTATATGCAAGCTGCCGTTAGACTGGTGTAAGGAAACACGGGATGAAGAGACATCATGAAAAAGGTGACTAGACATGGGCGTAGGGAGCTGACCAAAACTACTTTCCATACCCTATACCCAGTCTCAAGGTCATTCAGATATTATAAAAACTCTTTTTATCTTCATTCCTGCTCTCGTTGTGACGCTATCGCCCGTATTAGTTGTGAACGTCGTCGTCGCTTCACCAGCCCATAGCCAATCAGAATTTCGTGGTCAAAACTAGTCCTTCCACGAGCTAGCGCACTGCATACCCGCGCTAAGTCTGTTTAGTCAAGTAATCTCCACATCTGTAACCTTAGGGGGTTTACGGATGTATTTGTGTAAGTACTTTGTTTGTTTTGTTTTATTCCTACCAGTCCCAAACTTCTATTCTATACGTCCAAATAGCACCTGTTAAGCCTTCGAGTATGGATGAGTCACTTGGTTCTGAGCTCGGACGTAAGAGGCGCGGACGACCACGCCAATACGCTACTCCTCAGGATAAAACGAATGCGAACGTCGAACAAAGGCGAGCAAAGCGGCAGAAAGCAACTTCTGACAAAAGGGCTGAGCAACATGCTCACTTCTACAACGCGGGTACTCTCTCCTTACCCCCTGTTTCACTTCAAGTCGATGGTGGAGCCTCGGTCCAACGGTCTGATCATCGACTTGAGAGTGCCGCTATGTTATCAGAGATTGGACGTCACGCTCCGGAACTTGATGGTCCAGATTTCTCGCATCTCCTTCCTCCGCCTACCCCTACCCTAGAGCCATATTTGCCAGGCGGGTCCCCTTTGGGGAGTGATGAAGTTCCAGGAGTACCGTTACTACTTTCAGGACATTCGGAAGGTGATACAGAAAACCTAGCTCCAATGGCTGCGGTCGACACTATGGAAACCTCACCACCCGCTGATGCAGACCATGAATATCGAGTGAAACGTCTTGGACGTCAGCTGGTACAGCAGTTAGTTAAGTTTCAAGGATGTTGTACAGACTGTCACCGTTCAGCAAAGGTCCAGCACGATCAGACCCAAAGGGAGCATATCGGCCTTGCTGCTTACCTGGAAAGCAGTGCAGACATTTGTCCTGAGGTTCTGAGCTCTACTCGCATTGCATCTCCAGAAGATGACCTTTCTGGAAAGATGAGTAGCTCAGACCGGCGACGGGTTTATTGTGGTCTCGGCTCTGGAGGTCAGGCGCCTCATATCTGCTTGAACGAGGACGAACGAATCACGCATGTTGCTGGGGTTAGCTTTGACGTGGATAGCGTCACAGGGTTTCCCAGCAACCTTGCCATCGCCAAGCAAGGAATTCGCTGGTCTCCTACCCAGATGCCTGTTTCAGACCTGCAGTCGGATCTCCACCTCTGCCCGAGACCGGTGCAATACCTGGATATGGTGGGAAACCAACGCCGAGTCCACCGTCCTGTACATCAAATCCCGCATTACACTTTCGGTCGCCTCATCGGATTCGAAGATGTATCGCTATACTTGCTGTTCCCTAACTTATACCGGGAAGAGCAAAAGTCTAGTCGGCTCCGGGACGAAGATTTCCGCACATGGATGGACGGTGTGCTGCTTCCTATCATTCACAACCATTATAGCAATTCCCATGTCCAACACTACCCCTCGAGCTATGATCACAGTAAGTACAACGCCACCGCTCGTGGCATTGAGACGCTTGCCCAAAGAGTGCATCCAGTTGCTCGAGAGCAACAGCTCAAGTATTACCTCCCGCCTGAGTCTTTGGGAGCTGTATGGGCTTCCATTCAGCATGCGGTTCAGGAACCAGGTTTCCATCACTTCCGCGACATTACTGTGCTCCTACAAGCCAAGAACTTGAAGGTCTTAACGAAGGACATCACCTGGTCACAAACAATGGCACGATTCCGGAATTACTGGACCCACGCGATCGATGAAAAGTATGTTACAGCGGACTTCTATTTCGATGTAGGAAAGGAGACCTGTCCTCAACAGGCATCTCGAGCTACATCGATCGGTGATGAAGGCGTATTGAATGGCGATATCGACAATTTGGCGTGCACTCCGGCTGGGACGCTTTTGTACAAGCGTTGTTGTCTCCAATCGTACTCACATCTAGCGCGGAACGATGTCGCCGCCCAAGAAATTGAGAAGCAAATGTTCTATCCTTTCAGTATGCTCCACGACACTGGAAGCCTGACTGTTGAGACGGGTCAGCGATCCTCACGGCGCAAAGCTGGACTTCTGTATTCTCAGTTCTACCCCAGTGTCAAAGAGGTTTTCGCGGCAGGGAACGTTTATCCGTTCACTAACACCGCAATCGAAACCCTTGCGTTGGACAAAAAGTTACGACGAACTTGGGAATTAGTCGGGGGCGCCCTCAGTCATCAGCCAGCAGCGTTGATGAAAGCATACCTATATACTAAGCTCCGTTGCCATTTCGCTTTATTGGGGTCAATAAAAAAGTCATTCGGTATCAGGGAACAGCATCGTGTCTCTAACGACCTCTTCAATGCTATCGACACAGAGTTCCATGCTCAGCAGTTGCAAGATGAGCATTTTATGGCACCGGTCAATCAGAACTCTCCGTACTACAACTTCACGACGGAAACTGTGCTACGCTGGCTGCGATGGAATATTAATAAATGCTGTGTCGGATTTGAAATGGTCTACAGCCTTCAAGACCCTCACTTCGTAACATGGGAACATACCCGAATCATGCTCATGTTCCTTCGATGCCTCCAGTTCTCGTACTCTGGAGGCCTCATACAAAAGTCTGGCGGTTGTTGGCAAGATCTTCGACTTCAACCCGATTCAAGCCAGCCCAATGGACTCCGACGGACGGAAGGTCTCGGATTTCGACATACTATGGAGACTTATGGGTATGCGTGGTTTCTTGATAAGGTCGATTGGGAAACGCTCACGTTCAAACAACCTCATGCAGCCTTCATGATGTTCAACAACCCGTCCATGCAAGCTGCCTACCATGCTCGATACCGTCAAGTGCGAGATGTACGGATCGATTTTATTCGAGTGGATAAAGCTCGACAATGGATGATTGAGTTTAGCTCGGTCCCTGACTGTCTACAACTCCTGGAGAAATACCTCCAACAGCTTTGCTTGTGTGCTTTTCGAAAAGATGTCTTCACCTATATTAAGTCTGTGTTGCATCCCGATCATGTGGAAGCAGCCCTAGCGGGCGAGGTACCTCTCTGCTATGACAGTGTGCACGATGCTCTGGCTGAGCGCCACCGCCCGCCCCAGCTTGCGTATGGGAACCGATTAGCAGTCAAAAACATTGATGTCCTATTTGCATGGCTCTGGGAATGGAAAGATG